CCTGCAAGGAGTCTCTGCGACTTTGGCTCCTCTGTGCAGCTTCAGCGGATCGTGCTGCAGCTCTCAAAAACGATGCAGTGCCGGCGTCTCAATGCGAGAGATCAGAGCTGACCCAAGAAACCTTTGGCAGCATCAGGCTGGCGAAGCGCTGCTCCAGGCATGAGACTGAGACCTCAGAGCTTGGCAGAAGCAGAACCGAAAGCGTGCTCTCAACTGGTGCCTCAGTTGTGTGGACAAAGCGCTGGTCTGTCTAGAAGAAGACATCTCCAAGCAGGAGGTCACCGATAGTCACGCAGCCAAAGCTTTTGATGACACAAAAAGTTTCACCAGGCGCGGCTGTGTGGGCTGCAGCTGTTTGTTGGAACCTTACAGCAGATGAAGGTTGGTCCGGAGGACGAGCATGCTACCGGAACATCTTGCTGTGCCACGAGAGCTTTGCCTGCCGCAGGAGCCTGCAAAGCTACGCCAAAGGGCCGTGGCTCTGTGCGGCAAAATGCGCTTCGGACTGCTTTTAACTAGGATTCGTGGATAGTGTCTCCGTTTGTTTTCATGCATCACTAAACCTATGCAGTCATTCTTCAATAATCCAACAACGGTGTCAGTGTAACGTTACACCCTAGTTCAACTCAGGTACTGTAGTACCGTTTTAAGCGAAATGTCGTTGCTCGAGCATGCGAAGCCTAAGCGGATTGTCACGGCCCGGCCTGCACAAACCGACATGACGTTTTTTCCGGTAAGCCCCAACGGCTATCTTGGGACCCCCGGAACACCAAAACGACGTGGTTGTGTGACCCTGCGCCATCAAACTAGATTTTGCTCGGAAAACCCTACAGTTCCTACACCCTACGTTGCCTGTGAAACCCAAGACCCAAGCAGGCTTTACGCCTGAGCCACGGAATCAAACATTGCGTGGCTGGGATCGAAGCTCAATCACTCCTAGAAAGCCCAGGGAAGTTGCTGAGTGCCTCTACTAAGGTGCTAGTTCAGTAGCAACGCACACATTCAAACCCACTTGCAGCAGCAACAACAACAACCATGTTAATTTCCACAAGGTGTGTGCAGTACATCATTCGCAGCCGTTGCCAGGTTTTGAACCGACCACGAATCCCCAACTAGACGCTGACCGCATCGCCTTAGCCAAAATTATTCCCCAAGTAGACGCTGTGACAATAAGCAACGCATCGCCTTTCACACCCTAGAGTAGGAGTAGCAGTAGTACTGGTACGGAGCAGAAAACGAGTATAAGTGCTGCGGTGTTCTGTTGTCACGACTCCTTATATGTGGTCCTTGCGACGTTGGGCCGCTTTAGTCAAAAACAAGTCCACTGTGACCCTGGTCTTGATCGCGAAATGAACATGATCGCGATCACCATCACGTTCGCAGTTGTAGTAGTAGTAGTAGTAGTAGTAGTAGTAGTCGTCGTAGTAGTGGTAGTAGTAGTAGTAGTAGTAGTACTAGTACTAGTACTAGTACTAGTACTAGTACTACTACTAGTACTAGTACTAGTAGTACTAGTACTAGTAGTACTAGTACTAGTACTAGTAGTAGTACTAGTACTAGTACTAGTACTAGTACTAGTAGTAGTAGTAGTAGTAGTAGTAGTAGTCGTAGTAGTAGTAGTAGTAGTAGTAGTAGTAGTAGTAGTAGTAGTAGTAGTAGTAGTACTATTAGTAGTACTAGTAGTAGTACTATTAGTAGTACTATTAGTAGTAGTAGTAGTAGTAGTAGTAGTAGTAGTAGTAGTAGTAGTAGTAGTAGTAGTACTAGTAGTAGTAGTAGTAGTAGTAGCACTACTAGTACGGAGAGTCTCGGCTTCCAAGCCAAAGCGCAGGGTTATCGTTCAGGGTATCGTTCTAGGTCCAGCTAGGATACCCATTTTCGAGCCCCAGTTGTATCGGAGGCCACCAAACCGTATGTCTTCACAAGCTGCCGGACAGCGTCTAAGAGTATTACTATTGGAATTAGTATTGAATGGTTTTTGGTATGAGGAATGGCTGGTTGTCGGGCGCTGCGATGCCAATGATGTGTGTCTTGAGCGGGTGCTTCGGAAAATCGACCGTGTAGTGGTGAAATGGCTGGTTTTGAAGTACTGTGGTTCCACTGCTGTTTGTGTGGAGCGGGTGACTCTGAAATCGAGCGTCTACACGGTGATTGTAGTGATTTGCACTGACTTCTCGGACCTACCGAATGCGCGGCGTCTGCTTAGAACGGTGTAACCCGAAGACATTGCACCAAGTTTCGCGGGCAACAGTAGTAGGAAGTTGTATCGGAGGCAACCACAATTAGCCATTCTTGAAAATGTTTCTGTCATTGACACGGGCGAATGCACAGCATACCACGCGGGAATGGATATTCCGTTGGCTTGGAAGTGTATGTCGTCAGAAGTTTCCGGACAGCGTCTACACGGGGATTACCGTTGTTGACACACACGCAGACCATGCTTCGGGGACCAGTGCATGCACGGCGTCTCATGGGGATTGGCAGGTTCTGGCCTTCAAATCGGCTTGAAAACTGTATGTTCGGACCCACGCGTCCCCAACTAGAACTATGATTTGCACTGCCTTGCACTGCCTTTCTGAATGCGGGCGTCTAGTTGGGGATACGCATGACCAACACCCAATGCACTGCCTTTGGCGGGCCGGTGTACTACTACTACTACTACTACTACTACTACTACTACTACTACTACTACTACTACTACTACTCCTACTCCTACTCCTACTCCTACTCCTACTCCTCCTGCTACTCCTGCTGCTACTTCTACTGCTACTGCTACTACGACGTACAACGACGACGACTTCTACTTCCACCCCACTACCACCACTACCACGAGCACCATGACGATGACGACTGCTGCGATGGGAAAGACGACTTTTCGACGGCCTGCAAATCGGTTGTTCCTCCAGTGTCAGTGTGCTGTTCCGATGCTAGCCAATCCTATCGACAGCTCCAGTTCTCCAAGATTGTCTTCGAGATTTCGCATGAAAGAAATTCCCACAAGCATCAGCTGCAGGCTTTCGAAGCGATTCCAGAGCAAGGCATTTTGCCTTTGCTGCGAGCTGTTGCTTGCCAGCACTAGAGACCTTGGACGGAGAAATGACGACGCAGCATGCCGCATGCGGGGTGCTGGTGTCATATGAGGTTTTGGCTGCCGCAGCCCGAGCTTCAGGCCACAGAGCAACCACACTCTGTTTCAAACGGTGCACCCGATTGTCGACGTCATCCCCGCCACAGGATCCTGACAATGGACTACTTTGTTTGAGAAGAGCTTTGCAAAGTGCCGACAGAACACGCCTGAATGCAGATTTTGCGCAAAGCTCGTGTTGTCTTGCTTAGCAAGCCGCTTGCCGCGGTGTGTAACTCAGGAGCCATACACTCCGATCCATCCGATGTGGGTCTGTTTGTGGATATCTTGAACGAGGCTTGGCAATCTGAGAAAGCTAGCGCTGACTGGTCTCCGAAGCAAAGGCAGGATAACGCTAAAGAGTCTCAAGAGTCTCATCTTGGGTCTGTGGAATCGAGTGTTGATGTCGACACCCATTCTGCTTTGCCGTTTTATCAGGTGGCACGGCTCTTCGCAAAGGCTGCTGGCCAGGAGCGGCCAATGCTCCGGCCGCCGATACACACAAATACGACGTAGCAGCCTGCGACAGGTCTCTCCTGCTGTGCTCAGCAAAACTGTCGGCCTTTGCGTTCAACATGTCAGGCCGGCACTGTGACATCTGACTTCCCGCTGCACATCTTGCTTGGTAGGTATATCGGGAGCCGTGTCCCGGTAGACTCGATGCGAGCGCTGCATGCGGTACCCCGGCTTTGAGCTGCTCGCCGCCGAACTGTTAGTAACAAGCTCTCGCACCGGCCTGCCAGATTCTTGCAGACCTGGCTGCGAAGCAGGTGGACTCGGTGGAGGCTTGGGTTGGGGTGAGTTCCTGAACATTCGTCTGGTTCTTTGGCTCCACCTTTGGAACGCGTGCGGTTGGAGAAGCACTTCAGGGAAGCAAAAATCCGAGTGACAGGCCGTCATGGCAGGCGACGCTTCTCGGCTTCAGCTTCCGACAGCATGGCCCCGCATAGCTTCGGTACGTGGCGAGCTGAGGCCAACGTGTCCTACCTGGAAGTGGATCTCCGCCCGGCAGAGAAGCTCACGGCCCTGCAGTCGCCAGACGTCACTTTCCAAGAGCCTGTGCACTCCCATGGACTCCGGGCTCTTTGGTGAGAGGTTTGCCAGCATTCTTGATTTTGCACTCCGTGCCGTCGAACTCGGGACGGCTTTCAGCTCTCCATCTCGTGCATGTAAGGACTGCAGATCGGGTTCAGAGGTTGGTAGAGCAGCGCAGGCGGAGGTTGGGAATGCTAGAGTCAGGTCAAAGCATGATGTCGCCAAATCCGACTCGGCCAAGTGAATGGCTTCCGTAGAGGTGAACATTTTGTTGTCTTGCAGAGATGGGTATGACGGCCCTATCGCACCCTTAAGCGTGGCTGCTTGAGTCTGCGAAAGCATGCCAAGACGCCTGCTTGACTTCTGTACATAGCAGCTGGATCGACTCTCCCGATTTGCATGCAGCGGCAACTGCAGTCACGGTTTGGATTCCCAGAGACGGTGATAGCCAGCAAGCAAACCAGTCGTGAGTCGCCGGTATCCTGCTGCCGAAGCTCGATTCTATGCGACAGATGAAAAATATTCAGGTTATACAGGGTACAGAGTGGCCTTTGCCGGTTGAGGCTTTCTGTTCAGAAGCGAAGCAGGCTATCGAGACGAATCAGCGACTCGCTGTGCATTCCTGCATTCTGGGCTCAACCGAGAAGCAAAGCAGACACAAGACCGTGGACTCCGTTGAGAGTTCCAAAACAATATGGTCCGACCTAGAATTGGAAGCACGACCTTGACACAGGCAAAAGGGTTCGTCATAGAATCAGCGTAAAACCAGTAGTGTGCAGCGGCAAGAAGAGAGTGCAGAGGGTTTTGTCTTGCACCTAGAAGAGGCGCCTCAGACTGAGACATGAGACAAGCTCACAGACTTGTGCGTCGTGCGGCCAGCGTGGCGTTCTCAGAGGATGTAAAGCAATATGGGCCACAAGATTGCGAAATTCAGAGAGACCAGCGGGTGGCACAGAGGTGGCTGCGCAGAGCCGTGAGGTCGAACTCTCGAGCAGGTCTGGGTTTGCTGCGTATTGCATCTTAGTGGAAGGCTGCCGAGCCGTTTGTGTTCAACTCCGAGAACTTTCAGCGTCCTACTTTGCCAGCAGGCCGCAGGCCGATTCAAATCAAATCGAAGCTGGGAGCCGCTCCGCAGAGGTCTTCGCATTCGGGAGATTTCCCGGGAGGTTGCTACAGATGCTTCCCTCGCAGGTTTGGGCAGGCCGGAAGATCATGAGTTGTTCAGAGCCGTCTATGTTCTGCACGATCTGCACATCTCTGCACCATAAAGCAGGTTGGTTCATCGACCAGAGGACATCCGATCCTTTCGCGCTGGAAGTGTCGCAGAGTCTTGAAGTGTGTAGGATTTCACAGTGGATGCAAAAACTTTTGAGATCACCCAGTGGCCTCAACCGAGCTGGCGCCCTCTGGATCCTGGCACTGGGGATGAGGCGAGATGTTGGACATGCTTTTGATGCGGCCTGACCATGCACTCCCCAGCACAATCCGAGACAAGGCAGGCACAACGGAAGGCGACTTCGAGGTGAAATGGAAGGTGGTCGGGCAGTGTGCAGCAGGCTATCGGACGTATTTCACTCAACGTGCAGTTCGTGTGGGCTTCACCTCCTGGTCTGTTGCAAGTGTGCACGACAGCCTCACGGCACGTTCTCTCCTGCACGCTGGTGTGCATATTGGCAGGGTGATTATTTCTATGGCCAGAATCTGGCCATTGCAACAACGAACAACAAGTACCTGGATGGCCTGGGAGCGTTGAGCGAGGCTTAGTCAAACGTTCGCATCTCTGGCAGCACTCGCGAAATCTGATTTTTATGCGTTTGCGGAAGTTCTCGTTTAGCAGTGTTTTGGTCAGCTGATGCAGATGCAGGTCATCGGGGGGAACGGCAAATGACAGTGCAGAACTGCGTGTGGGGGCCGTTCCACCCAGAAGTCGAAGTACTGAAATAATGGCAGTTGAACTCGGTTGGAATCTTCAACTGTTCCTCGGCATCTCCCTAGCATATTGCAGCCGTTGCACCCTTTCAGTAGGCCTCCCTACGGACCTAAATGCTACAGCATGCTACAGCTAGCTGTTGTGGCCGTTCTACGGTGGTCCAGAGGTATCCTGAGTGAGGGGGTACTTGCAGCACGACAGATGGCTCTCCTGCAGGACCTCGAACCTTATTGCACCATAGCTCCGCGAGCATACAGCAGCAAGGGCGACACAACAAAAGCAACACGATTCAGGGAATGTGCGTCTCTTGCGCAGGGATTGAAAGTTTTGCACAGGCAAGAAAATTGAAATCGTGTCGCCGGTACAGCAGAGACCGGCTGAACGGGACCCTCCCATTTGGTGCGTTTTGCTCTTCTCACCTTTGACCAATATCGTGCTGTGCAAAGTCTGCTGTCGGCTCGAATCGCAAAGGCCCGAGCACGCAGTGGCAGACAAGCCGGCAGACGCAAGCCAGCCTCTCATTGAATCGATTGAGCCGTCGGTGAGGTCAGCGTTTGTGAATGTAAAGCAAGCGTGCAAGGCTGCATTTACTTGTGGATGAGTGACTACCACCCAGATGGCTTGGAGCTTGAATGGTCTTGGGGGCAAAAGCTCACAGCATGCATACATCTCGAGACTGTTCAGCTGAGGGGGTCAGCTTTTCTGGCCACGGACACCGGTGCCATTCACGGTGTGCCTCGGCCCGGCATCGGCTGGAGACGATATCCAGCCAGAGGACGACGGATCTCACCATCCCTGCCTTTATGAAGTGGTGACATGTCAGACGTACGCAGGACATGCGAGCTTTCCATGTACCTCAAGGGAAAGGGATCTACATCCATCCTGGAACATGGTGGTCCCGGCTGAAGATTGGGTAGCAAATCGGTTTTGTATCTGTGGCACTTTGGTGGCGAGCAAGCCGCTGTACTGCAGCCCCACACACTCATAAGCATCCATCGCTCAGCCACTAATCTGTTGGAAATCAAGCACAGCTTGATGTATCTTGAAGGCATGAAGCTTTCAGGGTTCCGAAACCAATCGGGCCTCTGGGCTCGGCAGTTGCCGTTTTGTTTGGGACTGTACACGGCAAGAGTTACCCTGACACCGAATTGAGTCCACCAGCTATCCTCAACAGGATCCAGGGGCAACTCTGCAAATACGTCCACAGCTTCGTTGCATGTGGTAGGACATGCGTGCCACATGCCGCTGCACTAACAAAAGTTAACCTATGACAACAGAGTTCCTCGCAAGCACACACACACACACATTCACACCAGGTAGCAAGTTGGCCGTAAAGATGTGCTGGTATGCAAACTGTGCAAGAAACTCACTTACTTAGGCCACGTTTCTCCATCGGAGCATGAATGCGTTTGTGAAAGGCTCAAAAACCTTGTTGTGAACGCATGTGTCACGAGGATGAGCGCATTTGTCAAGACCTTGTAAGACCGCTCGCGACGTGGTAAACCGTTTCACAATGAGCAACCGGAACGGCATGTCCAACTAAGGGTTCTATGAGTTTTCCCCTAATATGATCATAAGCTCGGCCTCTCGGCCAACAGCCGCTGAGCTCGGTATTGGACTGTGCGCACAGGCACAATGGGATTTACGTGGTCCGGTCCTCGTGACATCGCTGTGACGCTGCGCTTCTTCAAGCACTGCCGGTAAATCAAGGCTCCGCGCTACGCGGCCGCACCAGCTCGGTTCTTGACGCGTCAGGGACGGGTAAGCCTCCAAGATGCAGAAATGCAAAGCCAGTGCAAAGCATGCACGGCTGTAACAGCTTCGATTGCTTCCGGTCCAACCTGCAGGTGCATGCCAGAATTTCAGTGAGCTGGGCTGCAGAATTTGGCACTCTTCTCAAACTTCCGCTGGAGTGAGGCTTGAAAGCGAAGAAAAAGCCGCACGCCTCCTCTCCCTTGCTCTTCCTCTCCTTTTCTTGTTCTTGTTCGCTGTCTCTCGCTTCGTCTCCCTTTCTTGATGTCTCTTCGATACTCTCCTTCGCTACAAGTAGGTAGAGTTTCTATGTTTGTGGCCCTTTTGAGGCTTTGGTTCTAGATTCTTAATGTTCTCGTGCAAGATTCCGGGTTTGGCACAGTGACGTGTGTGTGTGTGTGCCTGCTCAAGCACAGCTTCCCCATCTCGCCGTCCTCGTCGTCTGGTCAGCAGAAGATTCACACAACAAACATGCGAGGGGCCAAACCGCGGCAAAGCAGAGTCGACAAGGGACGAGGACAAAGCCACGAAAAAGTAGACACCTGAACGACCTCGGGGCAGTAAAGGAACCATTCCCCTGTGTCCATATTTGGAGTGGCTGCACCCAGAGGTTGGCGACAACCTATCACGGAGTACACCACGCGGGGCGCAAGTTGTGAATTTCTGCGAGCGTTCACGCATCTAACTTGCCTAAAGCCACGGTCAGCTGGTCTGAGTTCTTTTTTTGCGCTGAAGGTACATGTTTTGACTGCACATGGTCATGTTCACCTGGAATGCAGATGGCTGGAGATTCCTCATCCATGGCATTCGCCAGTGAGACGGCCCGCGTCGCGGACCGTGCTCGGGTAGCAATTCAAACTCAAACTAACATAAACTAACAACCTGAATACCGACATACAACTTCGACTTAACGAATAAGTTCCAACAGGCGGCGAACGTCTTTTTTTGCAACCAACATTATTCACACTATCGACCACAGCTGCTTGTGGGGGACGGCCTCCTACACCCACGATCTGCCAATTGATCTCGTTGTGCTCTGGGGCCGATGGAACGACGCGTCCCGCTTCGCGCACGGCCCTGTTGCGAGGCAGCGGGAGAAAGTGCTCCTGCCAGTCGCCTCAAGCAGAGCGCTACCAGCGCGAAGGGGGAGCTGGCGATCCAAGAAATGATCACGGCAGGCAGCTGGGCACGGGCGGGCACATCCTGCAGGATTTCCCGCAAGAGACGGCGACAGCGCCGAGTCCCCGAGTAGAGTGGCAGCAAATGAGGTTTGCATCGCCACGCCCACCACCGCTGCAACCAGCTCTGGGTGGCGGCGCCAGCGCCTCGTAGCAGGGGATCGGAGGGCTCGCGAACGGACGACTGAGCGACCAGTTGGGGCGACTCGTCGTTCCAACGCCCGCTGGTCCCACGCCGACACGCGCAGCCGCAGCTGCTGAGCTGGGGTAGGCACCGCGCTTGCTGCATTTGGCAACGGCAGTTGCAGCGGCATTCGGCAGAGGGCTGTGGCTGCCCCTTGCCGTTGCAAATCGTGTCTTTGGTTTTCGGGTTGGGTCCCGATTGCTCGTCCTAGTGACGAAGCTTGTGCAGGTCTTTGTTAGCTCACGCATCAGTCTGCTCGGAAGGCATGTCCTTGGATGATCGTCAGTTGCGACCACGCCGCGAAGCATGATATATAATCACATCAAACTTGCAAGAGAACACACCAAAACAACAAAAAGCGCGCACGAACTTCGCAACTGGGAGCGACAGCAGCACAGTGAAGGCCCCATGCTACTTTGTACAGCGTTCAGAGCCCGAGCATGTTCTGGCGCGACCCGTCGGTCCAAGTTAACCCCAACACAGGACTTCAGCGCCCTTGGGTGGAGTTCTGATACTGCACATAGCGTGGATGCCGGCGCTTGATGTGATGACGTATTTCGGTCAGCTTTGCATGTTGTGTGCCGGGACGGGCAGAGAATCTGCCACGTCCAGCTCTGGCGCATACCAGATCAAAACCAAGTGACCCATTCGTGACAAGGAGGTCTCTTACTAACCCGGCCAGCCCTCCGGATCTGATAGAACCACCTCTTTAATGGCACCAGTGACGTTAACGAGTCCCCCTTAAGACTTCGGCAACCCGCTGCTGCCACTCCACGACGCAGATTGTTGTGCTTTTCATCGGCGTTGCACTGTAGGATATGCAAAGCTTGGCCAAAATTGGAGGAAACCAAGAAAAGAAGGATTGCTCGTTCAATGAATGATGCATCCGGCTGCATACGCGCTGTCCGTGCTTTTTAAGCTGTGCAATCAATAGCTGTGCAACTGCTACGTCGAGATCATGGCCAGTTACTGGCATCTGAAGCACCCTCAAAAGGTCAGGGTTGAGCACATCCTCCGCGCGCCGCTTCGACCCCACTCCAACTGCAGAAGCCCCAGGCATGCTGCCTCTCGCCCTATGGAGAAGAGACCCGGTCAGCGCCTGCCGCTGCTGCAGCCGCTGCCACGGCCTCCCGCAGAACAACACTGTCACAGTGCACACCGTTGGTGGCCCGCAAGCTGCTGCAGTAGAGGCGCCGGACTACGTCTCACAGTGCCGAAAGACAGAATCGCCCGAAAACCACCACTGTAGCGAACGAGGTGCTGGATGCAAACAGTCATCTGAAGCCGAACCTGGCCCAGAGATCAATCCGGATCAGCTCCAGCTCCTCGAGCACGAAGACAATGACTGAACTCAAGCCCCGAAATCCCGGGCTGCCTTTCACAGGGTTTTCATTTGCTCCAGCTCCTTGGTTCGAGAGCATAGAATCACGCAGCGGAGGTGGGAAGCTGCCTCCTCGAACGGGAAAGCACAAGCCTCGGGATACACGAAGACAAACTCACAAACAAATCCTAAAGTCCCACCGGTGGCAGGCGATGTCTTCTACAGCAGTGTTGCCTACATGCCTACGCCCTGGCGCCATTCAGACGTTTTGTGGGACGTTGATCTTGCGAAGACAAGTCTCAGAGAAACTCCATCCATTTTGGAGGCGGCTGTGGCAGCAGAGCCCCAGCTACAGTGTGCCCGAGAGGCGCATGACGATTGGATGAGCACGATGTGCAAATTTTCTGTTCTTTTACCCACCTTTTGCGATTGCGCTAAAGAATACACCCGCACGCGGGGAGCTCTGCAGAGCAACGTTTAGCAGGTACCACCAGCGGCACAGTCAGCCATGGCGAGCGGCGCTGCGCCGGGCGGCAGGAGCGCGTTGGGTTCGAAGATGTTCGAAGCCGCACGAGTTGGGCGACGACCTCGGTCGCAACAGCTCGGAGTACCGCTTGCGCCTCCTCAGCAACAGCGATCACAGCACCGTCACGCGATGCGGCAGGAGCTGACAGGGCGCCCATCCCGTGTGAGCGGGGACGAGCGTGATATCGCAGCACAATGCCTTCCCGAGCGGAGTAGCCAAGTACGCTACAAAGTTAAGGCAGCGGCGATCGGCAGGGGCTGATGTGTGTGCGAGCCATTACTCTACGTTCAAGTTGCTTATGCACTGCCCGACATCACGGAGGCGGTTGGTTGGGACCATGGGTGCGCGAGTGACAGAGAGGGGGAGGGAGAGCAGCGACGGGATTTCTCCCGGGACCGTGGCTTATGTTGCTAGCTTCTGCGGGCATGTTCGCTGTTTACAAGGGGAGGAAACCCTCATTTTTCTATAATGCCGAGGAACGCGGGTGTGCGTGCGCGCACGGGGGAGGTGGCCTGAACGCTGCTGCCGACCCCACGCCCAGTCGGGAGAGGAAGACAGAGAGAAGCGAGGCGAAGTTTGCGGGAAACCACACGCACTCAACCCAACTTGGAGACTGACTGGTTGGTTTTCTCCGGTTACATGGGAGTGTGCCACTTCGACACAGAGAGATACAGAGCGTGGACTTCCTGAGACACCAGGTGCGACCGTGTATGCTGGCACATGTATACCTTGTGCATAACATCTTTGGCAGGCAGTTCAGATAAGAAGACATCGAAGGCCGATCAAAAACGCGATGTCGAGATACTGTTGCTGCCAGACGCATGGACACGGTCGCGACACCCGCGGGAGCACAGCGTCCTGTATTTGAACGACCACGTGTCGCCTGAGGGCGACTTGCATGTCCAACAGCAGGATTTGCCTCCCGTGTCGTTTCCCGGGATGGCCCACAACATGCCGCAACCACTCGCCGGCACGCTGAGGAAGCGCTCGTGATAGGAATATGTTGAGTACGCGAGCTGCCGATTCCGCGGACCATGTGAAGCCAACTTCCGGGTCGAAAGGCTCGGCGTGCGTGGGCGGGGGTTGTGCCCCAGGAAGCACGGCATCCCACCCCCATCCCGGGCGTTCACCCCACCCTTCGGCGAACAACCTGTCGGAAGAAATGATTTTCTGTCGGGGAAGATCGTGTTCGAATCAGAGCTGATCAGGACCCCTCTCTTATATTTTGCAGAAACCGTAAAACCACAGTGCATACGGGACCAGGCTGCCGAGCCGTGGTTGACCAGCTGATCCAGCTGGGAGACCATTGCGCCGCCTGCGCTCGGAGTGTGCTGCTTGCCAGGTGCGAGCCGTTTTGCGCCTGCCGCAAAGTACGGTCCTTAATCGTTTCAAAAATCCTTCACTTATACTCGCCGAGGCAGTCCACGAGGGGCAAGCAGCCATTTTGTTTTCGCGGCGATTGAGCACGCGGTCAATGTGCAAACACTAGTTAAGATTATCTTCGAGAACAACTCCTAAATAGAATAAATATAAAAAGAAGCGAATTAAACAAATTAAGAAACAATGGGCAGGTTTGGGCACCGACATGGAGATCAGGCATGCGTCTGCGAGGTCGGCCGCGCCCGAAGCACGTGACGGCAGATTCCTGTCGCGAAATGAGTAAAGGGAAGAAGACTTTAGAGAGCAGGACAACAAGAACAGAGGCGTGCAGAGGAGGGAACAAGATTTGAGAAAGCAGGAGAAAAGAAGAGAGAGGAGTGGAGAGTGGAGGAACGGAGAGGAGTGGAGATCGGAGGAGCGGAGGAGTGGAGAGAAGAGTGGACAGAGAGGTGCGGAAGGGAGAAGGAGATCAGAGAAGAGGAGAGACGAGCAGTGGCAGGGAGTGAGCGCAATGGAGCGCACAGGGCGAGAGTGGAGCTGTTTTGGTGCCGCGACCGCGGCCCCGGGTACTATTGTACGGTTTCCGTGAACGGAATAAGAGTCGGTGAAAAAGGGGGAAGCCGTGGTACGGGGCCGCGCCTCCCGCGCTAAGACTAAACCAGCCGGGGGACAGGCTTCCAAGGCTCGTTTTGTTTAGTTCCACGACTTCGTTCAACCCCGAAAAGCGTGGACCTGCAACTTAGACTCCACATCTCATCCTCTCCACTCAATTCGTGTCCCACACCCGGGCCGATAATGTCGCAGCCGCGGCCCCGACAGCCGCCAGTGATGACGAACTTCTCGCAGCCGCCGCGCAGCGAGCCCGTGCGGCCGGACGAGGCGGCGGACGTGGCCGGCGTGGGCGCGGACGTGGACAGAACCTCGCTGCCCCGCCTGCCGATGCCCTTCAGCCCAACCCCCCTGCATCCGGCCAACCTGAGGCAACCAACACACGTCGGTCACAAGCCACTGCAGCTGCAGAAGCCGGCCTGCAGCGTGGTCTTGCAGCCCTCGATGCCGTTTGCTTGCAAACCACTTGCCGTGAGCACTGCCCCTGCGCGCGTCCGCGGGTGCTTGCGCACTGCCCTGCGAACAGGGCTCCGGCTCGCAGTGCATCCGTCCTGCCCTGAGGACGAAGTGCGCGGCTGGATGCTTTTCTGCGTCGCGCCCCGGATGCTGCTTTACCGCTCGCCTGGCGACTCCCGAGTGCCCACGGCAGAGTTGGACAGGCGCTTTGACGCGTTTCGAGCAGGGCTATGGACCGACCTGCTGCGCGAGGCGGCAGAACTGCTCGCTGCAGGCAACAGCGACACCCTCGCAGAGCTCCGCGACCCCCAGCGACGACCGCACGAGCCCTACGCCCCGTTACCGCAGGCCCCGCTCCAACATAACCCTGATCAAGCGTGCCCCCTGCCTCTGCAGGCCTTCCTCGACAGCTTGCGGAGTGCTCGTCGCAGCTTCGCTGCTGGCCCGTCCGGCGCCACCAACGAGCACATCCGCGTCTTGCTCGACGACGAGGTGGACGCCCGTTTGCTGCATGGCGCCGCCCTTCGGCTAGCCAAAGCGGAAGTGCCTCTCGCTGTGGTCGACGGCGACGGCATGCGTGTCGCGCGCATCGTCGCATTGCGCAAGCTCAACGGCAGGGTCCGTGCTCTCGCAGTCGGGGATATTTACAACAGGCCTGCATGCCTCACCAGTACGGCGTGAGCACGCGCACCGGCACGATCCGGCACGGAGGCAGTTAGCCGTCTGCTCCGCGCGGCCACGGAGGCATCCCCCCGCGCCACAGTTCTTTCGGTTGATGCTGTTGGCGTCTTTGACCATGTCTCGCGGGGATCCATCCTAGCCGCCCTGCATTCCCGGCAGAAGCTGCAACCGCTGCTTCCCTACGCACGGCAGTTCTATGCCACGCCTAGCGTCTACACCTGGTTCGACGAAGATGGCCGCGCGCACGAAGTCTGCCAGGCCGAGGGCGGCGAGCAAGGCGACCCACTGATGCCGGCATTCTATGCCTTGGCGCAGCACGCGGGTTTCGCTGACCTTCAGAGCCAGCTAGGTGACGGGGAGGCCGTCTTCGCGTTCCTTGACGACGTGTATGTTGTGTCGGCACCCGAACGCACACGCACACTCTACAACGCCCTCGCTGACGCTCTTCGGCACCGCGCGCGGATCCGTCTCCATGAGGGTAAGAAGACGCGGATTTGGAACTTCGCCGGCGAGGAGCCGAATGCCATCAGCCGGAGTGCCAAGGGCTGACCATGCTCGGTTCCCCTCTGGGGCACGATGCCTTTGTTGCCAGGCACCTCCAGAACAAGCGCGAGGACCACGACCGGCTCCTCCAACGTCTCCCCAGCCTCGACGACTTGCAAACGGCCTGGTTGCTGTTCCAGTCCTGCGCCGCCCCGCGTGCCAACTACCTGCTGCGAATCTTGCCCCCGCACCGCACCGCCGCGTATGCAGCAGCTCACAACAGAACTCTTGAGTGTTAGGCACACTGATCATGACCCGGAAGACCCTGACACACCGATGCCCCTTGTAGAGGAGTCGAACGACCAAAATATCATTGATGTTCAGGATTCGGACGATGGCGCCTCCAAGCCGGACGACTTGTCTCGCAAGAGAAACTTCGACCGGTGTGGCGCCAGCCAGCGCTAAAGTCACTCCACCTTGCCGCCTTGTGCCGGGAGTTACATCCATTGCCAGATGCGGCAGTTGCCCACTGCCTGGCCGCGCTCCTTGAGCGCGAAGCTGCCCCCCTCCCGGAGCGAAGCCTCCGCGCTGCCCATCTCGCGCAACGATTCGGGGGGTTTGGCCTCCGCTCTGCGGCCTCCATTGGGCCTCCTGGTGCGATACCCTGCCCGTCCTTCGCACGCATGCCCCCGCTGCAGCGGCCCGGCTGCTTGGCGCCCTCCAAGTCAGTCAGTCAGTCAGTAAAAGCCTCGTGTACAGTGACACATGGGCATGGAAGGAACAAACAATTAGTTCCCGAAGCAAAAAAGATTGTACACGTTGTCGCCACACGTTCGGTGGAGACGCCCATAAACGCTTCAACTCATCAAAATCTCCTGCCACTTGTACAGCTAACTGATACACCTGGGAGGTCCACACCTGTTTGGGGCGGCCTCGACATCTCGGTTTCATATGACTTTGGAGCTGATGCGAACCCTCCTCGTCCGAGGAAGGAAGCGCAGCAATCTTGCCAATGAGCTGTAGTCGCCCTCCAAGGCGACAGCGTTTTGCCCTCGGCCACCGCCGCCGTCCTCGCTCAGGCGCACCTGCGCGCTCTCGGCTGCGATACCCCTGACTGGGCAGCCGTTTGCGCCGGCCCTGCTGCCGCCGCACCACCCCAGAGCGGCGGAGAAGCTTTACGCGACCCCTGGCCCTTCAAGGGTTGGCAGCGCCTAGCTGCCCACGCCTGTGATGCGCGCGCTTATGAGAAGCACCTTACTGACCTCACACCCGCGTCTCGAGCGCTGCTGCTGTCACAGGCCGGGCCCTTCGCTGCCCGAGCCTTGAATGTCCTTCCCACCCGCGACGAGATCTCCATACCTAGCGCGCACGGCTTCCCCTCCCCTTCGCTCCGCGCCGATGCCGCTGCCGCGGAGAGCTTGATGCACCTCAGCTTGCGCTACTTCGGGCGTCCTCGCCACGCGCGCGCTCCCCCTCGAGCACGCCGTCGCGCGGATCTGTCGCGAAGCGGTGCTCGCGCGGCTCGCCACGTCCGCCTGGCTGACATGAACCTCGATGTGCCGATCTCGGACGAGCGCCGCATTGAAGTTGTTGGCAACGGATTGCCTTTGCGGCATGGCTCGCAGCTCGCCCTGGACGCCACCCTCGTTTGCCTGCTGCTGTGTGTGGAACACGTCGGAAGCGGATGCCAATCCGGGAGCGATCGCGGAGGATTGCGCCCACGATGCGTGTTTGACACTCCGTCAAGCGGTCTTTGCCGCTGCGGGTGCGGACGCTTATTAAACCGCGGCCACACACTCGGCTTTACGGAGGCTGTGATGGCAGCTCACGGTTCACGCGCTTGCTTTTATCCATTTCCGCGAAACCGAGTTGCTGCCTGCATGCTTTGCAACCCGCTGCCCAGGCCGCTGCGGTCGCGGCGTGGCTCAGCGCCACCCCGTGCGCGGCTGCCTTTGCCGGTCGCCCCACACCGATGCGGCGAACATGGACCCGGCTGCAGGTGCCGTTGTCGACGCGTATGGCGACCACCACGCCGCGTGCCCGCGGACAGGCTTGCTCGCCCGCCAGTGAAGCGGCTGGAGAATTCATGGGTGCACGTTGCTCGTGAGGCTGTCGGACCTGAAGGCCAGGTAGTTCCGCTGACGTTGAATCCGCGGATTGCCGCCGTTTAGGCTTCGCATACGGGGCTATTCGTTTGCAAAGCACCCTTGCTGCCACATGCTGCCACGTTGCTCGGTACTGCTGGCACCATGCCCTCGCCCGCCCCCGCACAGGGTTGTTGGCTCGCCAAGCGAAAATCGTCGAGTGGGCCTGGGTGCGCGTAGCCCGCGAGGCGGTGGGATCTGATAGGCAAATCATCCCTCAACAGCGGCTCGTGCACACTAGCGCACCGGGCTCGACTGAGTTGTCTACGGCGCCACGCCCCGAGGAGGCGCATTGTGCTGCGATGCGACCCTCGTCTCACCTCACACGGACGGGGCATCCACAGCCGAGAGTGGCAGATACAGATGGGGCCGGAGGACCGCGAGAGCTCGTTGTTCTAGGCTCGGAGGTCGGCGGGCGCTGGAATGGCGAGGCTGCCCCGCTTCTCGCGCTCTCGACGGCCGTGCTGCTGCTGAGCATCGCCGTGTTGTCGGTCCTGCCGAGCTCGCACTCCTTGACTCTCAAGCCGGCCCTTGGCCCTTTCGCCGCCCGGATGTTCACTGTCCGTCCCACTGCGCCTGAGCTCGCCCTTGACTCTGCAATCTTTCGGGTCTTGCTCCTTCGTCGTTTGCGGCTTCGCCCCTGCTCGTTGCCGCTGCCGGAGGCCGCTCGATGTCTTGGGTGACCACGTCGCTGCCTGTCCTCGGTCTGGTGTTCTTCGGGCACGGGGCGGTCCGCTCGAGCGTGCAGCGACTCGGGTTTGTTGTGAGGCTGGTGCTGCAGTTGCCGCCAACGTCCTTGTCCGCGATCTCAACCTCGATGCCTCCAGACATGACGAGCGTCGCATTGAGGTCATCGCCAATGGATTGCCGTTGTGGGGTGGCTCCCAACTTGCTGTTGACACGACGTTGGTGTCGCCACTCGCTTCTGCCGGTGTGCCCCGTCGCCGCCGTGGCGGCACTGCAGGAGCTGCCTTGGTTGAGGCCCGCAGGGCCAAGGAGCGCACTTACCCTGAGTTCGCTGGTGCCCATCGGTGCCGACTGGTTGTCCTTGGCCTCGAGGTTGGGGGTCGCTGGAGTGCAAAGGCAGCCACGTTCATCCGTTTGCTTGCAAGGGCACGCTCCCGAAGCGCTGCTCGCTCGCAGCGGGCAGCATGCGGTGCTGTTTTTGTAGCAAGGTGGTCTGGGTTTCCCTCTGTCGCAGCAGCGCGTTCCTTCGCAGCCAGCTTATCTCCAACACTGCCAACCTCGACGGCGAGCCGCCTCTCCTGAGTGACGTCCCTGCAGACTCGTCGGAGGTGCCGCCCCTTGCCTCCCGCCTGTCGTAAGCCTCGGCTAGATTAGGTGGGGTGGAGTCTTCTCTTCGAACAGGTTGCGCCCGGTGCGCCCGGTAGTTTGCTGCACTGGGACCGCGCTCGGATGTTTGCACAATGGTCCGCGAGAAAAAAAAGAGCTACGTATGGCTGCTCGCTTGTGAACCTTCCTGCCTGGGATCGTATGGACCATCTGGAAAAGTCGTCAAGTGCTCACTGTGGTGGCAGCTGATTCCGGATAGGCGTCAACTGTTAGTTGCTTCTACTCGTATTACAAGGACGTCATCACGTGCTCACTGGGGATACAGCTGCCTCCTGACAGGCGTCCATTTCAGCCTGCTGCTCTTACCCGTACGACAAGACGTCATCAAGTGTTCACTGTGGCTGTAGCCGGCTGACACGAAGGCATCAAATTCTCACTGTGGTTGCTGCTGTGTAACTGTACGAAGTCGTCAAGTGCTCACTGTGGCTGTAGCCGGCTAAGGCGTAAGCTTGGAGTTGCCTCCACTCGTACGACATGGACGTCAGCAGGTGCTCACTGTGGCTGCAGCAGATCCCGGACAAGCATCAGCCGTCAGCTGCAGGTAGCCGTACTACCATTTTGGCTCAAGAGAAATGTTTGAGGTTTGAAATTACAAAGTCGGCCAACGCAGATCGATCCAGATGGCTTGAAGACTTGGCGGCCCTCTGGGGATTGCAGATCCGTCAAAAAGCTCCGTCGTGGGCGCAGTGACTGCCGCGGCGTGCACCCTGCGCGGCTCGCCCCGCTCGCCTGCATGTCCCGAGCATCCCGTTCGGACACACCTAACCGCGGCCAGCGCGCACCACGCTCACCACTGTCAGTGAGCTCCGCCTCGACGCCTCCCCAGGCACCCCCCGCTGGTGACGTTACGCCGCCTGCCCCTGCCAGCGGTGATGCGGAGCACTGTTGTGTCTGCCTTGAGCGCCTCCTTCCGGCCGCTCAGGGCGCCCAGCTCCGTGTCCCCTTTCCTGCTTGCAGCCGTCACTGCATGCATTTGGAGTGCCTGGCGCAATATCGTGCGCAAGCCAATGGCCCGCCGGACCTGCTATGCCCGCTGTGTCGCCACAGCCGATGCCCGGACTGCGTACCTGGAGGGTGGTCCGGGGTGCATGACGCTCACCTGCGGTCACTATGTCGCCGTGAAGGCGTGGCCATGCCGGACCGGATCTCGGGCGAGACCACCGTGCGTCAAGCTGTCCAGGACTACCAACTCCGCACGTTCACCTCCAACGATGCGCCCGAACCCCGAGCACCACCAGGGGTCACCGTCCTGTGCTGTCACCGGCTCGCGGCCTTGGGCCGCGCCGGCGGGGTGGATTTTGTAAGGCTGCCGCACCGCGAGATGCAATGGGCGCCCGTCCCTATCCGCTGTGACACTGGCATAGCCGCGTGGCGCCCCGGCTGGCTTTGCCCCGGCTGCGCCACAGAGGTCCCACTGGATGCGCTCCAATTCCTGCTGATGCAGGCGGGGTGTGCAACCGATGTGGCCGCGACTTGCATTGGACTTTTGACCGAGTCGCGGACGCCTCCTCGTGGAGCTGCACCGCCGGGTGCGCCGGACCGGCCGCACTTGATCACGCAGCAGTTCCGCCCCCCCAGGCCCCTCATCCAGAAGCCCTTGCCCCTGATTCCTCGCCAGGCGCCCATAGGCCTGCGGCAGCCTTCTGGCTCACAAGGGGCCCGCCTCTCGGGGCGGTCACGGACAGCACCAACTCCTGGCTTTACGTTCCTTTATTGCACGCCGCAGCCGCAGATCTCGCGCCTTCTGCGCTCGACGCTTGGCGAGCCGATCCCCGGGCAACCAACTGGTGGGAGCAGGCTCGCCAGCTCCTCGCGGCCTCCGCGCCTGTCGCCCCGCAAACCCTCATTGCAGCCCTCGCCCGCACCGCCGAAACCGCCCCTGCGCACGCGCACCATCTGCCCGATCTGGTTGCGCGCATCCAAGATGCGGGCCTTCCCAATGGCTCCCTCGTGCATGCCGGCTGGGCGGTGCGCCAGCTGCGAGAGCCGGATGGCTACCTCCTGTCACCGGTGCAAGAAGTTCTGCTCGAATGCTACGGCGGCCATGTGCTTGCGTCGACGCTCGACCGTCATTCGGACTGCTTCCGTCCACCCCCTGCCGCCGCAGCCCCAACTAGTGATCCTCCGCCTGAGGCGCCCTCCGCAGCAGAGCGAGTGCAAGACGACGCCAAGCCAGCTTCCCCGCCTGCCGAACCACCCGCAGCAGCAGACGAGGATGCCTTTCTGGCCGCCGCTGCCCAACGCGCGCTCCAACAAGCGACCGCTTCTGGCCGGGGCACTGGACGGGGTCGGCGCGGACGTGGGCGCGGAAGAGGAACCGCAGCTTGCCCCGATGACCTTCCGCCGCCTCCCCCGCAGCCACCCCCCACTCGGCGCGGACAAGCCAACGCGACTGCTGAAGCTGGCATGCGGCGCGGCGTTGTCTCCCTTGATGCGGTCAATCTCCAAGCCAGCTGCCGCCAACGGGTCCTCACGCTGCAAGCAGCCCCAGCGCGCATCCGTGGAGCCCTGCGTACTGCACTGCGCACGGGCCTACGGCTCGCAGTCCACCCAGCAGCTCCCGAGGATGCCGCGCGGGGTTGGAAGCTTTTCTGCCTCGCTCCCCGCATGCTCCTGTTCCGCTCGCCGGGTGAGTCGCGCATTCCGCCGGCAGAGCTGGACAGGCGGTGCGAACTGTTCCGCGCCGGGCAGTGGTCGGACCTCCTCCGCCAATCCGCCGCCGCGGCAGGGACAGTACCCAGCCCACCCCGAAGTGACCCTTCTGATGCGCAGCGGGCGCGCCGTGCCGCCGCCATCGTCCACATTGGGGAGCTGTCCGCCGCAGGGCATGCCCTCACTGCTCAACCTTTAGCCGCTGGCACCCTTGACACGCTCGCCGAGCTTCGTGACCCGGAGCGGCGGCCCCCCGTGCCGTATGCCCCCGTGCCCGACGGCGTCCTCGGACACGTGCCTGCAGAGCCATGCCCGCTGCCCCTGCAAGACTTCCTCCGAGGGCCTGCGGAGCGCACGACGAGGCTCCGCAGCCGGACCTTCTGGCACCACCAACGAGCACCTCCGCATCCTCTTGGACGACGATGAAGATGCTCGCCTCCTGCATGGCGCCGCCGTCCGGCTCGCCAATGCAGATGTGCCTTCCGAGGTGCTCGAGGGAATCCGGGTCGGACGCCTAGTCGCCCTTCAAAAGCCCAACGGCCGGGTGCGTGCTCTTGTGGTTGGCGACGTCCTGCGTCGTCTCGTCGGCCGGGTGCTCGCGCAGCACTTCGCCCCTCGCCTGCAACAGGCATGCATGCCCCACCAGTTCGGGCTGAGCACCCGCTCAGGGACGGAAGCTGTGAGTCGGCTCCTCCGCGCCGCCACCGAAGCAAGCCCTCGAGCCACCGTGCTCTCCGTCGACGCTGTTGGCGCTTTTGATCATGTCTCGCGCGGCGCCATGCTGACCGCGCTTCATGCGAGGCCTGAGCTCCAGCCCCTCCTCCCCTTCGCGCGCCAGTTCTACGCTGACCCCAGCACGTACACGTGGTATGACGATGATGGACGTGCTCACGACATCTCCCAAGGAGAGGGCGGCGAACAAGGCGATCCACTGATGCCCGCGCTGTACGCGCTAGCGCAACATGAAGCGCTCTGTGACCTCCACAGCCAGCTTCAGGACGGGGAGGCCGACTCTCCCGCCCGAAGCCCAAGGCCTCACAGTGCTCGGCTCCCCGCTCGGGCACGATGCGTTCGTCGCGCGCCAACTTCGGCGTAAGCGCGACGACCAGGACCGGCTCCTCGAACGCATTCCTGCCGTCGATGACTTGCAGGCAGGGTGGCTCCTCCTGCGCTCCTGCGCCGCTATATACGCGCGCGAACTACCTTTTGCGCATCCTCCCCCCCCACCTCACCGCCGAGTATGCAGCGGCGCATGACGCAGCCGTCGCCCGGTGCCTCACCACGCTGCTGGAACACGGGGACGCCCCCCTGCCGCCCAGCAGCCTTGCCACCGCCCAACTTGCCCAGCGGTTCGGGGGGCTCGGTCTCCGCTCCGCCTCCTCCGACCGCTTCGCTGCGCACTGGGCTTCTTGGTGCGACACGAGCAGCCGCCCGTCTCCGCGCCGCCTTGCAAGGCGACGGAGCCTTGCCTTCCACGGCCGCGGCGACGCAAGCCCAAGCACACTTGCGTGACCTTGGGTACGAAGCACCGGACTGGGCAGTCATCTCCTCCGGTGCCGCCGCGCCCCCCGCACCAGACCGAGCTGAAGACCCGTGGCCGTTCAAGGGCTGGCAGCGTTCGGCTGCCCGTGCATGCGATCAGCGCGCGTACGAGACGCATCTTTCTCACCTCACCTCTGCGTCCCGTGCGCTGCTGCTGTCCCAAGCCGGGCCCTTCGCCTCCCGCGCCCTGAACCTCATGCCCACCCGCGAGGATGCTGCGATCCCCATGCAGTGCGCAGTTCCGGGTCCTTTTGCTGCGGCGCTTGCGCATGCCCCTCCCGCTTGCACCGCGCAGGTGCAGCTGCCACGGGGAACTCGACCCTGTTGGTGACCACCGCACGGCCTGCGCCACCTCGGGCGTTCTGTCCACTCGCGCGCTGCCCCTCGAGCACGCCGTCGCGCGGGTATGCCGTGAAGCTGGCGCCAGAGTGGCACGCCACGTCAAGCTCGCGGACATGAACCTGGATGTGCCTGTCTCCGATGAGCGGCGCATCGAGGTCGTCGCCAATGGCCTCCCCCTTTGGCACGGCTCGCAGCTTGCGCTTGATGCCACCATCGTTTCTCCCCTCACCAGGCGCGGCGAAGCCCACCCGCGCGCCGACGTGCAACCGGGCTGCGCGGTCGCTGCCGCCGCACGGCGCAAGCGCTTCCAGACCTACCCGGAACTTGAGAGCGCACGCCGCTGTCGACTTGTCGTGGTTGGTGTCGAGGTCGGCGGCAGGTTCGGCGCCGAAGCCGTTCAGCTCCTGCGCCTCCTCGCCCGCCACCGCGCAGCGTCGGTCCCCGCCCATATGCGGCCCGCCGCCGTCTCGTCTTGGGTCGCCCGATGGTCCGGTATGCTCGCGGTCGCGGCTCAGCGCGCCTACGCGGCGACGCTCCTCGAGCTGCCCCCGGCTGCCGAGTTGGGTGAAGGACCCATGCCCGACTTGCACGAGGTCCTCGCCGACGCGCGCTGGGACTAAAACGGTCTCGCGCGAAGCAGGCATGTAGGCCGCCGTTGCACTGGGACCGCGCTCGTACTGGTTGCAAAATAGTGCGCGAAAAAAAAAAGTCATCAAGTGCTCACTGTGCCTGCAGTGGATTCCAGAGAAGTGTAAGTTTGTTTTTTGGCTTTGAGCTGTTCCTGCGCGTATGCCTTGTCATCAAGTGCTCACTGTGGCCGCTTCGGATTCCAGAAGGACGTAGGCTTTCACTTGTGTCTATCCGTACGACAAAGAAATCGTCAAGTGCTCACTCGGGCTGCAAATGGTATGCGCAGAATTGCGCAGAAGCGTACGCTTCCGGGGGCTTGTTTTTGTGCTGCTGCTGCTGCTGCTGCTGCTACTGCTGTCACTGACAAGCTCCTCTCACGTAGCGCACGTAATTGGTCGCAGCGTGAGGCGACTGCAGAGTCAGGTCGCTTGGGCGATCGCCTGTAATTTGGTGCATGACGTGCACACGCTTTGCCAGGTAGTTTTCTGAAAGAGAGTTGGCTGGTCTTCACCTCGCAGCTTGGGCGGGGCGAGACGGAAAAACTGACATCCCTTTGTGATTCAGATTTTTTTTCCCGAAAGCATCGCGAAGGGTTCTTCCGTGTGGAACGCCGCAGCTGAGTACATAGATGACAGACATAGAATCAACTTACTTGACTCCATACTTTACTCTACACTTGATACTTGACTCTACACTTGATACTTACTTACTTACTTGACCTCTATGACTGACTCTCTACACTTGACATTTGACTCTATGATACTTGACTCTACACTTGATACTTGACTCTATGTTATGCTTACGACTTACTTACTTACTTACTTCACTCTACTTACTTACTTACTTGACACTTGACACTGGACTCTTCTACACTTGACACTTGACTCTATGTTATGCTTACGACTTACTTACTTACTTACTTACTTACTTCACTCTACTTACTTACTTACTTGACACTTGACACTGGACTCTATGTTATGCTATCTCTATACTTACTTATACTTACTTACTTACTTACTTACTTGTTACTTACTTACTTACTTGCTTGACTCTCTGCCTCTATGACTTTGACTTACTCTCTACATCTCGGTATCTAATTCTCTCTTCTAAAGCCAGGGGTGGCACCGTTGTCGTCCATCGGGAATGCAACCCTTCCCAGGGATTCGCCTCCTCGGGCGTTCAAACGCGAGGTAAAGTTACACATTTTAGGGTTCCCGCGCAACCCTTCCCAGGGATTCGCCTCCTCGGGCGTTCAAACGCGAGGTAAAGTTACACATTTTAGGCGCGCGGGTGAACCCTTCACAAGGATTCGCTGCCTCGGGCGTTCAAACGCGAGGTAAAGTTACACATTTTAGGCGCCCGGCGCAACCCTTCACAGGGATTCGCCTCCTCGGGCGTTCAAACGCGAGGTAAAGTTACACATTTTGCGGTTCCCGCGCAACCCTTCACAGGGATTCGCCCCCTCGGGCGTTCAAACGCGAGGTAAAGTTACACTTCTTGCGGGCGCCGCGCAACCCTTCACAGGGATTCGCCTCCTCGGGTGTTCAAACGCGAGGTAAAGTTACACTTCTTGCGGGCGCCGCGCAACCCTTCACAGGGTTTGGGTGCAGTTCAATTTTTTTTGCAACCCTTCACAGGGATTTGCATTTTGCAACCCTTCACAGGGATTGGCGTGGTCGGGTGTTCGAACGCGAGGTAAAGTTGCATTTTTTGATTTGCATTGAAATGAATTTTGCAACCCTTCACAAGGATTGGCGTGGTGGAGTGTTCGAACGCGAGGTAAAGTTGCAATTTTTGATGAGCATTGAAATGAATTTTGCAACCCTTCACAAGGATTGGCGTGGTGGAGTGTTCGAACGCGAGGTAAAGTTGCAATTTTTGATGAGCATTGAGATGAATTTTGCAACCCCTCACAGGGATTGGCGTGGTCGAGTGGTTGAACGCGAGGTAAAGTTGCAATTTTTCATGAGCACTGAGATGAATTTTGCAACCCTTCACAGGGATTGGCGTGGTGGAGTGTTCGAACGCGAGGTAAAGTTGCAATTTTTGATGAGCATTGAAATGAATTTTGCAACCCCTCACAGGGATTGGCGTGGTCGAGTGGTCGAACGCGAGGTAAAGTTACACATTTTGCGGTGCCCCGCGCAATCCTTCATTGAGAGGGATTAGCTTCCTCGAATGTTCTAATCGGAAGGTGTGCAGGTACTGTTGCATGGTCTTTGGGCGGCTGCGTGTAACCCTCTGCATGGATTGGCGTGGTCCAGGGTTGAAACGTGTGTGCAAACTACTACTTGTATCCTTTCCGCCGTGCAACTCTCCACAGGGAGTGGCGTGGTCGATTGCAGGAACTTGCATCTCTGCGAGGTGCAATTGGCAACCCTTCAGAGGGATTGGCAGATGCATATATCGATAATATACGCACATATATATATATATATATATATATATCTATCTTTCTATCTATCCATATATAGATAGATAGATAGATAGATAATAGATATATAGATAGATAGATAGATAGACATATATTCATGCGCCTGTACGGCGCGTACGCTGTCTTGCGACGGCGCAACGCGCCGCTGCCTGGCCGATGACCTGCAGGCTCGGAGCTTCTTCCTGCTTTGTAGAGGCTTTCTCCTTGCACACGTTTGACTCGCAGGCTGCCTGGTCGATGACCTGCAGGCTCGGAGCTTCTTCCTGCTTTGTAGAGGCTTTCTCCTTGCACACGTTTGACTCGCAGGCTGCCTGGTCGATGACCTGCAGGCTCGGAGCTTCCTCCTGCTTTGTAGAGGCTTTCTCCTTGCACACGTTCGACTCGCAGGCTGCCTGGCCGATGACTTCTGCAGGCTCGGAGTTTCTTGCTGCTCTGTAAAGGCTTTCTCCTTGCACGTTTGCCTGCCTCGTTTGGCTCGAAAGGCAGAAGAAAGGGAAGAAAGGGAAAACGCGTTGCAGTATTTTGCACACATTGCAGCATCTTACTACACCTAGTACGCTTCCTTGCCTGCCTTGGCGCTGTCTTGCGAAAGGGCCGGTGTGGAGATTATTCTCAGCTTATTCTCATCTTCTCAGCTGACCATACTTAGGACAGTTGTTTGCCCGCCTCGACGCTGTCTTGCGAAAGGGTCGGTGCAGACACTTTTGCAGTTGAACATACTTGGGACAGTGTTTTGCTTGCCTCGACGCTGTCTTGCGAAAGGGCCGGCGTGGACGCCTTCTTCCATCCCATGGATTCGCGGTTGCAGAAGTTCCGCGCCGGTTATGCCCAGCAGGGCGAAGACTGGCTCCGCACCGAGCTGGACAAGCAAAACCGGCAGGACCTGCGTGGGCTCTGTGTCGCTGCGGGTGTGCAACAGAAGTCTGCCGGGCACACGCTTACCAGAGCGGAGCTGTTGGAAGCTCTATCACAGAGCATTGTCGGGGAGCAGGCTTCATGGGGAATCGGCGTTTTTGATGATTGTCCATGTCAGCTTCTGTTGCAGCGAGGGGTCAGTGTCGTCGCCAGGTGGGATGTTTTGTGCTTTGAAGTGAAATAGTTCTTGCTGTCAGGCCGATGAACCGGCGTCGCAGCAAAAGCTGCAGGAGCTGCGCACGGGTTATGCCGAGCAGGGCGCAGCGTGGCTTCGCACCGAGCTGGACAAGCAAAACCGGCAGGAGCTGGCTGAGCTCTGCATCGCTGCGGATGTGCGACAGAAGTCAGCCGGGTGCAAGCTCTCCAGAGCGGAGTTGTTGGAAGCTCTATCACAGAGCATTGTCGGGGAGCAGGCTTCATGGGGAAGTGGCGTTCTTGAGGATTGTCCATGTCAGCTTCTGTTGCAGCGAGGCGTCAGTGTCGTCGCCAGGTGGGATGTTTTGTGCTTTGAAGTGAAGCAGTTCTTGCTGTCAGGCCGATGAACCGGCGTCGCAGCAAAGGCTGCAGGAGCTGCGCACGGGTTATGCCGAGCAGGGCGCAGCCTGGCTCCGCGGCGAGCTGCGGAAGCACAGTAAGGATGAGCTGGCTGAGCTCTGTGTCGCTGCGGATGTGCAACGACACGCAGCCGGGCGCACTCTCTCCAAAGCGGAGTTGTTGGAAGCTCTATCACAGAGCATTGTCGGGGAGCAGGCTTCATGGGGAATCGGCGTTTTTGATGATTGTCCATGTCAGCTTCTGTTGTCAGCGAGGCGTCAGTGTCGTCGCCAGGTGGGATGTTTTGTGCTTTGAAGTGAAGTAGTTCTTGCTGTCAGGCCGATGAACGTGCGTCGCACCAAAAGCTGCAGGAGCTGCGCACGGGTTATGCCGAGCAGGGCGCAGCGTGGCTTCGCACCGAGCTGGACAAGCAAAACCGAGAGGAGCTGCGTATGCTCTGTGTCGCTGCGGATGTGCAACGACACGCAGCCGGGCGCAGTCTCTCCAAAGCGGATTTGTTGGAAGCTCTATCACAGAGCATTGTCGGGGAGCAGGCTTCATGGGGACTCGGCTTTTTTTTGATGATTGTCCATGTCAGCTTCTGTTGCAGCGAGGCGTCGGTGTCGTCGCCAGGTGGGATGTTTTGTGCTTTGAAGTGAAGCAGTTCTTGCTGTCAGGCCGATGCACTTGCGTCGCAGCAAAAGCTGCAGGAGCTGCGCGCGGGTTATGCCGAGCAGGGCGAAGCCTGGCTCCGCACCGAGCTGGGGAAGCAGAGTCGGGATGAGCTGGCTAAGCTCTGCGTCGCTTCGGATGTGCGACAGAAGTCAGCCGGGCGCAAGCTCTCCAGAGCGGATCTGTTGGAAGCTTTGTCGCTGGGCATCGTGCAGGAGGAGGTATGACGGGGGGAAGGAGGGCGTGTGTGTGTGTGTGTGTGTGTGTGTGTGTGTGTGTGTGTGTGTGTGTGTGTGTGTGTGTGTGTGTGTGTGTGTGTGTGTGTGTGTGTGTGTGTGTGTGTGTGTGTGTGTGTGTGTGTGTGTGTGTGTGTGTGTGTGTGTGTGTGTGTGTGTGTGTGTGTGTGTGTGTGTGTGTGTGTGTGTGTGTGTGTGTGTGTGTGTGTGTGTGTGTGTGTGTGTGGGTGTGTGTGTGTGTGTGTGTGTGTGTGTGTGTGTGTGTGTGTGTGTGTGTGTGTGTGTGTGTGTGTGTGTGTGTGTGTGTGTGTGTGTGTGTGTTTCCGTGCTTACAGGTGAATATCGAGGACCTCTTCACGGCAGATGGCTTGCGGCGCTTGGCAGGAGAGCTCGGGGAAAAGGCACCACCTCGAATTCGGGCGCGGCTTCGTGTCTTGCGCTTGCGGGCCGACGGACCCTGTCTGCTGCGAGTGGCCGAAGATCTGGGTGTGGCGTTTGAGAACGTGAGCAAGGAGGTCTTGATTCAGCGGATTGTCATGGCGTTGTGCCCCCTGCGCGTTCCGAGTGCAGACGGTGACATCAAGTACCTAATGTGGAGATGCCTCTACGCGGTTCGGAAAGCCGGAGCACGGGATGCTGCAGCGGTGGTTGCAGCTGCTTCCGACATCTTCGAGGATGCCAACGTGCGCCAATCTGCGGTTGCCTACTCCTTGGACATCACGGCAGAATCATTTTCCGCGAGACATCTGTCTTCCGATGCGGAGAGAGATCTACTTGCGCAAAAGATTCTGGACAGTCTGCAGCATTGGTCACAGGTCGACACGGCGCTGTCTCGAGAAGTGAGTTCTACGTGGGAGGTTGCTGTTGCCGGCTTGAGAGACGCGACCGTGCCGTGTCTGACTTCTTCCATGCAGCAAAGCTGCAGCTAGAATCAATCTTTCTGGAGGAGGCTCTGGACCACCATGATCCCTGCATTAGTCCTACTACTAGGCCTAAGGACCCATAAGCCCCTGGCGTTCCCCTGGAGTCTGTTGAATCGGCTAAGTAACATACGCTGGCCTGTTGTGGTTTGAGATGAAGAGCGAAACCCTAATTCCCGACTCCTTTCAGAGACCAGTGTTGCGGCTTCCGTTTGGGGATGTTTGTCAGCTGCCGCTATGTTTCTTCTTCCATGATACTATACCCCTATACCCTGGCTTGGTATAATGCGTGCTATGGAGGCTCGGGGCTCCCGACGAACCTTTGCAACTACAATCAGCCATTTTCACGAGGCTCCGGACCACCGTAATCCCTGGGATGACCTCTCCCGGCACCTCCTCAGGCCGCCTCTCCGATGCCGGTCTTTGGGACGTTGCTTGCTTGCTTCGACGCTGTCTTGCGAAAGAGCAAGCAAGCAACGACGCCGCCACGAGAAGAATGTGCGTGTGTGTAAAAAAAGCCAAGTCTTCAGGAAGATTTTAAGATGTGCCATGGCTGATCAGAGACCAGTCAGTCACCTGTGACTCTGTCCTCATTCGCAGCTCTATTATTGTGAAGTCAGTGAAGCTTCTTGCAATAACGCCATTTTCTGCAGCTGGTGTTTCCGCTGGTACAATGAGGACGATGTGAGGCGTTCCACCCTTCATAACTTGAGAGGCAGGAATGCCGAGGACGAGTGGCCAGTTCTTGGCCAGGCACATTTCCATCCGTATATGTACATATATATATATATATGTACATATATATATATATATATAGATATGAATGGAAGATATAATATATTATTAATATATCTATCTATCTATACTATCTATCTATATATATATATATATATATAGATAGATAGATAGTATGTATATAAATGGACAGATATAGATAGTAGATAGATGTGTATATATATATATATATGTATAATATATATATATATATATATATATATATTTATATATTTATATGTATAGTATCCATATATTATGCATTTGCCAACCCCTCTGACAAGTTGCCACTTGACCTGTTGAGTCAGGCTCTGAGCCCTCACGCTAGGCGGATCTTGATTAAGCGTTCCCACACACAGGGCATAGAGTGAACTACATCGAGTCAAGTGTATGGTACAAAGATGACTCCACGACTCCGTGACTCTATCTCACTACAACTCTATGACTTTATGAATCATGACCCATGGACTCTATGACTCTTGATTCTGTGACTTTACGATCCTATACAGTGACTCTATCTCACTACGACTCTATGACTCTATGTCACTACAACTCTATGACTTTATGACTCATGACCCATGGACTCTATGACTCTTGACTCTGTGACTTTACGATCCTATACACTGACTCTATCTCACTACGACTCTATGACGCTATGTCACTGCAACTCTATGACTTTATGACTCATGACTCATGGACTCTATGACTCTTGATTCTGTGACTTTACGATCCTATACACTGGATCTATCACATAGCCCCACACTCTTCGCTGATGATGCTTTCGGGCCAATTGTCTTCTAGTGTAAGTTTTTAGGCGAAACATGGTCTGGTTGTCATATGAAATCTGTTGAGATTTCCTAGCACATTACCGAACGGTGGTGAGAGTGAATGCGTCTGACCTTGCTGGTGATTCCTGACTCAAGCGTGCAGCGACGGAGCTGCCCCTGTAGTGGCGCGAAAAGAGCGTGTGCCCCTGATCATCCACCTGTGCTTGGCGCACAGGTGGTAGCGGAGCCCGGTCTTCGACCCGGGCAGCGCATGGCGTATGGTGGATGGCACCAGGGCACAGCTGGAACGACATACTACAGGGGCGGCTCGGGTCACGGCGCCTGGCCGACGTGGTCTGAGGTGCAAGCGGCCGGAAGCGGCGGGGAGCCACCTCAAGCAGCGATAGGCGAAGATGATGCAGCGGCCCAGGCGCAGGGAAGCACCACTGCCGCCGCAACTCCGGAAGAAACTCCACAGTGGAACTGGGGAACCCAAGCCTGGGGGAATGGGTCCTGGAACCAGGGTGGATGGGGCGGAGGAAGCTGGCAGTGGAACTGGTGGCCCACGAGCAGCAACGCCAAGGGCGACTACAGCGATCCGCCAGCATGGGGCGGATGGTCAAGCTATCGGCTGTGGAAGAAGTCCCTGATCCGGTGGAACCAGAACACAGACGTGCCCATGTGGAGAAGGTTCGAGAAGCTGAGCAAGCAACTAGATTGGGATCTTCAGGGCCGATTTGAGCACGTGCCCGAGGCGACGCTAGCGGGCGCAGGCTATCTGGATGCGGTCCTTGGCATCCTCGATGGCCTGGCTGGGGAGAAGGACGCGTCGGAGAAGCGCAGGGTCGTCAGAGCAGCCCTGTTCGAAGGCCAACGCAAGAAGGACGAGACGTTGTCGCAGTTTGCTGTGCGCCGTGAACAGGAGTTTGCTGGAGCCGACCGCTACCTGACGATCCCTTCCGAGCTCAAGGCGTTCATCCTGGAGGAGACGGCGGGACTCACTCGGCAAGGCGTCCAGAACCTCCGGACGCTCACCAGCGGGGCGGGTGACTTCGACAAGATGGTGGGCGCCCTCAAGACGCTCGATGTAGAAGAAGAGCCGTTGACCAAGGGCAAGTCGGCGCTCTTCAGTGGGCTGGCGACGGAGGACAGCACGGCGACGACCGGTGACGATGGCGAGGCCAGCCCCGACGACGTCGATGAGGAGTACCATGACCAGGTCGAGGCATTCCTGACGGAGGTCGACGATGCCGACGAGGACACCGCGCTCGAGATGCTGGCCGCCTTCGAGAAGGAGCAAGCTGCGGCGCCGGAGAAGCGCCGGACCTGGAAGCAGAACAAGGACAGGAAGGCGGCGGCGAAGAAAGACCGACGGGTGTTCAGCCGGCCCCGGCTCACGGTCAGTGAGCTGAAGGAGCGCACTCGATGTGCCAACTGCGGGGAGCGAGGGCATTGGAAAGCTGAGTGCAAGAAGCCGTACCGCTCCAAGGAGGATCGTGGCAAGAACGACGGCCGCGGGGCAGAAGCAGGGCGCAGGGCCGTGGCTTTTGTCTACTTTGGGGCCACCGAGAACGAGGCACAGGGCAACACCTTCGTGGGCTGGGCGGCTGGGGCGGCTGAGCTGGACGAGGACGAGGCCCGGGACATGTTCGAGCACACGATTCCCCGGCAGACCGCCCAGGTTCGCGACCCCGAGGACGGCGAGACGAGCGAGCACGAGGCCCAGAACGCGCTCGAGGACACGATTCCCCGGCAGATCGCCCAGGTTCGCGTCCCTGATGGCGGCGAGGTGAACGAGCACGAGGCCCACGACGCTCTCGAGGACACGATTCCCCGAGAGGACAACCAGGTTCGCGACCCAAAGGGTGACGACGAGGCGAAGCACGACGCCCCGGACACGCCCGATGACACGATTCCCCGGAAGGACAAGGGCAAGCAGTGGGAGCCGGCAGCCCGGCCAGGGTCCCCAAGGGCACGCGATGGCGAAAGGACTTCAGTGGGCCGCTGTGCTGGTCTTCTTGGATGGCTTGTGGCAGCCGTGGTGGCCGGGAGCCAGGCGAGCCTCTTCGCGCTGGACCCCGGACACGCCATTCTGGACATTGGGGCGGCACAGGACCTGATCGGGAAGGAGGCTTTTGAGCGACTGAACCAGCGGCTAAGGAAGCAGGGGCTGCGCAGCTTGAGGCTACCGTGTGCGCCTCCATCTGCCCACGGGGTCGGAGGCAAGGCGACACCACTTTTTCAAGCCCTCATTCCGTGCATCCTGGCGGGCGTGCCTGGCGTGGTGAGGGTCACGGTCATCGAGGAGAGCATCCCTCACCTCATCTCGGTGGGCCTTCTTGAAGCCACGGGCGCGGCCATTGACATGCGGCGCAACACCGTTGACTATCAGGAGCTGGGAGTGAGTGAGCCGATGCTGCGCCTCAAGTCGGGGCACCGGGCTGTGGACATAGCGGCGTGGCGCGGGGGAACTTTCCCGACGCCCCACCATGTCAAGGAAGAGTTCGGTCTCACCGATGGTGCCTTCAACCTGGGGGCGGAGTTGACTGGAAGCGCAATTGAAGCATACATGGTAGATGGGGTTCCGGGGAAGGGGGCCAGTGTGTCGCAAGATGGGAGTGGCAAGCCAAGTCGAGCATCCTGTGTGTCAGCCGAAGCAGTTGCTATGTCCAGTGAGCAAGGGAGAGCATCGACTGTGGAGCCCAGGGAGCCTGACCGCAGGGAGAGCTTTGAAACGAATGTGTTGCGGCAGCCCTTGGCTCGTAGCGGCAGTGAGCCTCCCCGTGCTGAGCGGCACGCCTCACATGGAGAGCAACCCCGAGCACAAGTGGAAGAAAGTGGTCACCCGGCTTCTCAATCGACGAGTGCTTCCCGAGGAGCCGGTGGTGAGTCAGCAATGCCCGCATCCCGCGGACTCCGTGGTCAATGGGGCAAATCAATATGGGTCATGGCGGCGATGTCTGCTTTGTCAAACGAAAATCAGCTATGTACCCCACCGAGCGCGGCCGAAACCAAAAGCTGGGAAAGCGGTCGCGTATGTCAGCGAGCCCCCTCCGGTGCAGCTTGGACGCGAGAAGGCCTCCGGCAGCCAGCCGGCGGAGACGAAGACCACCGAGGTGATCGAGGCGATCGGCAAGGTGATGGCAGAGAACACCCACCAGCTGCAGGTGGCGATGGCACAGTGCAACCAGCAAGTGCTGCAGGGCATGGCGCAGACCAATCAGCAGATGATGGCATCCATGGGTACCGTGGTGCAGACCATGCAGGCCATGCAGGTGACGCAGCAGAGCATGGTGCAAGAGGTGCGTCAGGTTGCTGGAGGTGCAGCGGCGGCGGTTGCGCAGGCTGGGCTGATGATTCCGGAGGCGGCGATGCACCAGGTGACCTCCATGGAGGGCGTGGCACCCGAGACGGCAGCCGATCTCAGCCCACAATGGACTCCCGAACAGGTGGCACGGGTAGCTGCAGCGGCGGGATGGCACGACATCGAGAACAGCCCGGCGGGACGAGGAGGGCGGTGAGCTTCTATGACGAGGGCGGCCGCGACGTCGGGGACCTGAAGGACCACGAGCTCTACGACGCGGCGGCCAAGGAGGGCAAGAACTTCTTCGCACACGGCCCGGGCGACCTCTTCTACACCTTTGCCGGTGCTGGTTCTCCTGCCACCCTGCTGTGCAATGAGCCGTGTGACCGAGCCAAGCTGGTGAGGGCACAGCTTCCAGGGGGTCAGGCAGGCCGCAACATGATCGAGTGGAAGCTCCCGGGGCTTCGCTGGCACTTGGACAACCTGGAGCTTGAAGGCGAGTTCGACCAGGCGGTGGCGGCCAAGGACCGGGGCGGCGCGACCTCTTCGAGAAGCTGATTCAGAAGTATGACCCCGACCTCCTTGTGATCGAGCCCGAGGTGACGGACGGCGACTATCACGATCACGACGTCGGGGAGCTCCGAGAGAAGGTGCAACGCAAGCTTGTGCGAGACTTTTGTCACCGAACCTGCCGGGAGATGCTGCAGCGAGGAAGGGCTGTCATGTGGGCGGCCAAGCGACTGGGGACACACATCACCGACGATGAGAAGGCCGAGCTCGAAGGGGCAGGCGGCATCATGGCGAGCCACGGCCCCGACGACCAGGACTTTCTCACGAACGACGCCGGCATCGCAGTGAAACTCCATGATCACAGCCGCATCGGCTGGCTGGCGTCCTCTGTGGAGGGCATGGTGGGCGCTGAGGCCCAGTGGCGCTCCTTTGCGGCGGCGGGTCTTGACGAGGAGCAGGTGATCGAGGAGGAGGCCGAGGAGCTGGATCAAGACGGCAACGCCGGGGCAGGAGTCGGAAGCTTTCCACCAGAGGAGGGGGAGGGCTTGGCACAACAAGCTCACCGGGACAAGGAGGTGGCCAAGCTGGTGGAGAAGCTCCACTTGAACCTGGGCCACCTCTCCAAGGACCGCATGATGGTGATGTTGAAGGCAGCCGGGGCCAGAGAAGACGTCCTGGAGTACGTCGCGAAGAGGTTCGAATGCGAGATGTGCGGCCGAAGGCAGAGGGAGCTCAAGCGGCGAGTGGCGGCACACCCGAGGACGTACACGTTCAATCGGATCGTGGCGGTTGACGTCCTCTATGTTCCGTGGCGGGGGGTATCGCTGCCGGTGCTCAACATCGTCGACCATGGATCCCACTACCAGGTTGCCACCCTCATCAAGGAGAACGATGGACGACCTCACCGCGGCGGGTCCCCGAGTTCTGAGGAAGCGTGGAAGACATTCATGGAGGCGTGGATCCGGCCGTTTGGATCGCCAGAGATCGTCTTGAGCGATGCAGGGTCGGAGTTCCAAAAGGAGTTCGCAACCGGGTTGGAGTTGCAGTCCGTCTTCCACCACGTCGTGGACGCCGACTCACCGTGGCAAAACGGAGTGGCAGAACGCCACGGCGGCGAGGTCAAGCGACGCCTCCTGAGAGAGCTTGCTGAAGGGAAGTCCGTCCTGACCAGCCGCGACGACATAGACCTCATGCTCTACCACCTCACGGCAGCCAAGAACATGTGGTACACCCGTGCCGGGTACTCTCCTGCCCAGCTCGTCTTCGGAAGGAACCCGAGGATTCCCGAGGAGCTGCTCTCTGACCTCGTCTCGAGTGCCCCGGGAAGGCAGGCCATGGCGAGTGATCCCACCAACCTTGAGGGCAGCGAGCGAGCCTACGTCCAGAGCTGCATCATCCGGCAGAGGGCCAGGGAGCTCATGTTTGAGAAGGAGGCGAACGAGAAGTTGCAGCGGGCGGCTCGTGCGCCACGACACACCTACCAGCAGTACGCGGCAGGACAGTGGGTGTACGTCTTTCGAAGAGCCCCACAACGTGCACGTTGGTCAGGCCCTGGGTTGGTTCTTCTACATCAGGGCACCACCGTGTGGGTCGCCATGAGGGCTCGGCTGTGGAAGTGTAACGTGGACCAGGTGAGACCGGCCAGCAGCACGGAGGCCCTTGGCATCGAGATTGTGAACTCGCAACAGTACCAGGAGCTGCTAAGGAACATGGAGGGCAAGCGAGCAGGTGCTGTTGATGTCGCTAGGGAGGGCTCCCCACCAGAGGACGCCTGGGAAGAGCCGCGCGAGGAGGAGGCCCCAGTGATGATGCCCACGCCACCGGATGGAGACGGTCGGGATGCGGACCAAGGCTCGGGACCCAACGAGGCAAACTCTGAGGCCGGTGCGGCGGATGGACAGCCAGCCGCGGAGAGGCAGCGACGAGTGTCAATTCAGAGCACCACTGTCCCGAGCGAGGGTGACCAGAGCCTGGAGGATGGTGAGCAACGCAAGCGCAACGCGGAGGCCGCCGAGCTGGACCCAATCCTTGAAGAGGAGATCGATTGTCCAGGCACCCACGAAGCAGCTCGACGGGCCGAGTCGAGCACCACGCCATCCTCTGGTCGTGGCGAGGAACCGCCGGCGCGAAGGAGATCGCGGTCCCCTGTGCCGCCGGTGATGCGTCCAGTGCTTGAGAGAGCCCAAGCCGAGCACCTTGAGCTCATGAGGCAACGGGCCGAGGCAACGGACGGCGGCCTCGAGGACCCGAACCTGTACCAGGACAACCGTGACCTCAAGGAGTTGGGCAACGCCCGGGCGAAGCAGAAGGCAAAGGACCTGAATTACCACTGCAGCGGCGTCTTCTACGCGATTGAGAGAGAAGGCGAAGGGCAGGCACCTTGTCTAGTAGCCTGCCGAAGTGACGAGTTCAACATGAAGCGGGCCACCCCCGAGGAGGCGGCCGGGTTCAAGGAGTCAGACCTGACCGAGTGGAACAATGTCGTGGGGATGAACGCAGTGAAGATTTGGCGAGGCACCGAGGCCCGAGAGCTGAGGCGCCAGTATGCGGGGCGCATTTTGCGCAGCCGCATGGTGCGGCGAAAGAAGCCGATGCCGGGAGTCGGCTGCTTCAAGTACAAGTCCAGGTGGTGCGTGCTGGGCTTTGACGACCCCGACGGCCCAGACCTACGAACGTTCTCCCCCACTCCCCAGGCAGAGGTCATCAACGTCTTCTTTCAGGCGGCCCTAAACCTTGGCCTCCAGGTGGTGTTTGGCGACGTGACCTCGGCATTCTGCCAAGGAAAGAAGCTCGAGCGAGCAGCAGGCCGGCTGTTCGCAGAACCATGCCCCGGCATTGACGCTGAGCCGGGCGACCTGGTGGAGCTTCTTGTGGCTGTCTACGGCCTGGAGGATGCTCCAGTGTGCTGGTCAGAGACAGTGCAAGAGCACCTGTGCACCAACCTGGGCTTCCGCAAGACGCATCTGGACCCCTGCCTGTATGTGCGGCAGAACATGAGTAAGCCAGTGGAGGAGCGTGTCGAGGCCATGATTCTGGTTGAGGTCGACGACTTCAACGTGGCAGTGCGTCCCGAGCACGAGGAGGAGCTTCTCACCAGCCTCCGGGGCAAGTTCAAGTTCGGGAAGTGGCTTCGGAACGAAGCGGACTTTAACGGAAGGCACGTGAAGATCACCGACAACGACGTGTACATGCACCAGGAGAAGTATGTGTTGGAGAAGCTTCAGGCCCTAGAGCTGAGCAAGGGGAGACGCGCCCTCAAAGAGAGCCTGCTCACCGAGGAGGAGGCTGAGAGTTTCCGCTCGATGCTGTACCGAGTGAGCTGGCTGTCGCACCAGACCCGACCAGAGGCGGCTGGGCTCACGAGCATCCTCAGTTCCAAACTCAACCGGGCCACCATTTCGGATGTCATCACTCTGAACAAGATGATTGGGCACCTGAGATCTACTCCGAGACAGGGCATCCGGCTCCGGAGGTTTCGCCCGGCAGACATGTGCTTCATTGGCATCAGTGACGCTGGTGGGGTGGATGGCGCCGTGGAAGGGAAGGGCGCCGACGGCATGATCGAGGACCCGGTCCAAGGCTCCTGGCTGGTGCTGGCAAGTGACAAGCTGCCGGCTCACGACGAACACCTTCGAGTGTCTGTGCTGTCGTGGCGCTCCACCAAGCTCAAGCGGCGGGTCACGAGCACTTTGGCGTCAGAGACGTTGGCGTTTTCCCAGTGCCTTGGAGAGATAGAGTGGATGCAGGTGCTCTATCGCGACATCATCTTCGGAGATGTGACCATGGAGTCTTGGAGGCAGGTGATCCAGCCCTTCACATGCCTCCTCCGCAATGGGAGCCAACTGGCAGGACGCCAACAGCAGTGTGGCGTCACGGACGCCAAGTCGCTGTACGATGCTCTGGTGAAGGGACACCCGGCCAGCAGACAAGACCGAAGGAATGCCCTGGAGCTTGCCGCGATCATTGATGCTATGGAGAAGGGCGGAGGGGTGGTGCGCTGGACCTCGCACCAGCGCATGGTCGCCGACATGCTGACAAAGGCCGACATCGGGAAAGGAAACGGCGCGTTGCTACACCTCCTGAGGACCGGGGTTCTTCACATAGACGACGAAGCTAGCGAGTTGAAGCGGCGTGAGACAGGGGACGGCAGAGCCCGGACCCGTGCTGCAACCGAGCGCCTCCTTAGCAAGGAGGAGGCGGCTGAGCGAAGCGAACTAAGTGGGTTCGCATTGTGGTTCGCTAGCAAGGTCAGCATAGATTTGGGGAAGCTGTTGAGATTTCCTAGCACATTACCGAACGGTGGTGAGAGTGAATGCGTCTGACCTTGCTGGTGATTCCTGACTCAAGCGTGCAGCGACGGAGCTGCCCCTGTAGTGGCGCGAAAAGAGCGTGTGCCCCTGATCATCCACCTGTGCTTGGCGCACAAATTGTACAACACTTACAACCACTACCACGGTTTGTATTTGTTTTCTTAGAGACGGTAGAGAGGTGTATTTTGATTTTGAAATGTCAGTTTCACTGACTGCTTAATGTTGACGTTGATCCGATTGCACAAGTCTTAATGTAAAAGGATGATGACTGTGATGCTGCCGATTCAATGTACACTATTAAATGCTTAAATCTGCCGGGTAAATGACATAGAATCGTGTAAGTGAAAGAGTGGTTTAATGTTGTGTCATTGTGTTTCATTGGTCCCACCTACATAACTGGAAATGAACATAGTTTTGGCTGTATGATTATGAGAGAATAAAAAAATGCCAAGTCTGCACTGGGACTGCCACGCTTGGAACGCTGGTAAAAAGGTGCGTAAAAAATTGCATCTAGCAGGAGTTTTGTTATTAGCATAAGGGCGAGGCGGTAGTAGTAAACCAGGATCAAGGCTAGAGCCCGAACGCTATTAATGTTCATGTTTGGTTACTACTCGTAGTAGTTGATTGTAGTAGTAGCCGTAGTAGTAGTAGTAGTCGTCGTCGTCGTCGTGGTAGTAGTGGCAGTAATATTATGATTCTTGTGTTGGTTTGATGCTGCCATCTTGATGAGACGTGACAAAGTGGTAAGAAATTTCTTGAGCACCATGAGCCAGCATTAAGCATCGTAGCACGAGTATTTATAACAGTAACAGTAGCGGTAGCAGTTTAAGAGTTAATAGTCGTCAGCACAGTCAGAGAAGTCAACAGCGACCAATTTCCTGCGCCGCCGTTCCGGCTGAGTCTTCCTAACCCTACACCTGTTGACCCCGACTAAAACCCTGGCTTAAACTTGCGAATGATCCTGACCCTTCTTCCCAAACAATACCCCTTAATATTTAAGTTAAAGCAACCCGGACTCCCAGCTGCTAGCTATCCTAAGCCTTGAGCCCTGAAAGCACTTAAGCCTTACAGCCCTAAACCCTAAAGCCCTGAGCCCTAAACTTTGAACCCTACAGCCCCAAGCCCTAAAGTTTTAGCCCTGAGCCTTAAACCTTTAAGCCCTAAGCCTAAAGCTCTGGTCTCTTTAGTGCAGCTGTTCTCTGTGGTTCTGTTAAAACTCATACAACCATAGCCCCCCCTAATGTTTTGGATTAACTTTCAGTTGTGGGCCCGAAATCGCGATGTCCTGGCGGCGAGTTTATTTTGTATTAGGGGGAAGCGATTAAAAGGTGCGTAGTTATTGATTGATAAGTGTGCGGAGCATAGAGCATGTTACATGTCAGCAGGAGTTTTTCGTTGAATTATCCGCCGTTACTACCAGTGACGGGAAGAGAATCCGGGGGTTTCATTTGGCCAAAGAGCGGTTCAAGCCCTGACGTCGATTAATTGCTACAAAATCGTTTGCTTTCGTTTTCTACCATTAGGAGCTACCATGCCTATGTCAGGTGCTAGCTTGCTAATGCTTGGAATATGGGACAGGCCAATTGGTCATCGATGGCACGAGCCATTGTTGGCCGGTTGCCGAGACGGGCCACGCCGGTCATGAGTGGATTTTATGACAACGCGATCAGCAGCTTGGTGAACATGAAGCCGTCACTGTTAGATTCATACCGAACGCAAGGCTTCCGCTTGCGGGCGAATGCATGAGCTCAAAATGGCGACGGCAAGCACCACCCTTGCATGGATACGACAACTGGAGAGATGTGTTGGTTGCATGCTGCTCGCCCCGCAAGCCTTCGGCAACTCAGTTGGCACATTGCACGTGGACAGTTGCGAAACAAACACATCTGAAAGCCAACATCAGCCACGAGTTTCTTCATAGTTTGATACATGCTTGCCGGCTTCGCGTTGCACAGTTTACGGACCATGAGCTGCAGTGCACTTTGTGGGCTGTGGGTGTTCTCCAGCATCAGGACAACGAAGTGCTCGTACGTCTCGCGGAGGAAGGCATGCAGCGCTTGCAGAGAGAGGTGCCCAGTACGTTGCGAAGGAAATCCAGTGGAATCGGCAACATGTTTTGGGCGATGGCAAGGTCACACGCTTTCACAGCAGATGTCGCGACAAACATGGTGATGCAAGTTGCACCGCTCATACCTGGGCTCAGCCCGAGAGATTTGGCAGGCATCTCTTGGGCCTGCGCCGTCACGCGGCGTGTTGATGCTCCCTTATTTTTCGCAATATCACAAGCATGCGATGCATCCAACTTACGTGGCTTTTCGTGTCAGCAATTGGCCAACTTGGCTTGGGCATTCGCTCGGGCGCAAAGCTGTTGGCATGGCCAGCTTAACATATCAGCTTGCTTCTGGGCTGCTATCGTCGAGAACCTTGCCTGGTTCAAGCCGCATGAATTCAGCATTACATTATGGGCGGTGGCCAAGTTAGGGCTACCCGAGAGCACCACAACGCAAGACTTCAATGTGGTCGAGCGAGTTGGAGTATTGCGATTGCGACAAGGCCAGTTTGGGCCGCAAGAATTATCAAACCTGTCTTGTGCTTTGGCGCGTATGTTTGTGTCTCACATTGGATCAGCTGACACACCGCTTTCAGTGTTGGTGACGATCGCAAGAGGAAGGATGATGGAATTCGAGTCCCAGCATATTGCAAACATGATGTGGTCTTTGGGGCACGCTCGTTTCGCGCACAAGCCTTTTGTCTGTGATGTCCTGGAACTCATGCATGTCCGAGGGCCTACCTTTGCCACGATTGAACTGGTGGGATTGGTTTGGTCGTTTGCGCGTCTCCATGTGTGTACCGCCGCTGAGATGCACCAGCACTTGTTTTTCAGCAGTGAGTTCTTGTCATAATGGAACCTACGGCTGAGAAGTCATTGGGCATGTGAAGGCACCTTCACTGCTGGCGCAGGCCTCCGACATGCTCTTGCTTGCATCGCAAGAATTATCTGGCCAAAGTGTAGCCAATGTAGTGTGGTCGCTTGCCATCTTGACCCATGCCTGCATAAGCATGGGTTTCTTATAGGTTTGATTTAAGAGCGGTGAGAGAGAAAACTATGGAACGATCCCTAGAATTCGAGGACATGCGGCAGCATTGCTCATCAGTGGGCTCAACCCGTGTCTACGGTCCTCGAGCGTGGAAGCTGCAATCCACAAGAGCTGTCCAACATTTCTTGGGCCATGGTGAGGCTTCGTGTATTGAAGGACATTCCGCTTAAATTGGTTGCTGCTGCTTTCACCGGCAATTCCCACAACTTCAACTCGCAAAATATTGCAAATTTGGCATTGGCCTTCGCTCGAGTTGGTGGTGATGGAACCTGTAACATTGAGCCTTTTTGGACTGCTGTTATGCACGCGACAACTGCCCGAACGACTGAATTCAACACATGCGAACTCGCAAATTTATGTTGGTCTTTTGCCGCCATCAAGAAAACAATTGCCTTGAGTTCAATTGCCGACGAGTTTCTGAGAAGAGAACACGAAAAAGCTGACCAAGGCAGCATGCTGGCAATGCTGTGGGGCTTATCCTTCGCGAGCGTGAAGCATCTTGATTTGTTTCGGAGAGTGCGTCACCGCCTGGTGAGCCACGGAAAGAAATTGGACAGAAACAGAGAAACTCAGTTGCACCGAAAGTTGCCACTGGGCTTTGCTGCCACTAGCACTGGAAAGTTTGACCATGGCGAGCCGGTCATTGCTGCGGAGCTGTTGGACATTATTGTCTTGGCAAAGCCACCCGGCTGGGAAGTTGAGCGCAATACCCTGCATTCTGAGCCGCCGTTGGATGATCCGTTGGATGACCATTTGTTTCAGCTGCAATGGTTTTTGATATCTTTAGCCAGGCCTCCAGCGATCTGGTTTGATAGATCGCATCACTTCGGATTCTTGCATCGTTTGGACATCCCAGGTTCCGGACTTATTCTCGTTGCCAAGACATATGAGGCCTATTACCGGCTTTTGGTTCAGTTAAACGCCAATCAAATTGTAAGGGACTATGTGGTTTTGTGCCATGGATGGGTATCTCAAGCGAAGCGCACTGTTGCGACGTCCCTACATTGGACACCAGGCAACCCTGCGCCTAGCCAAGTATCCAGTGGAGGGAAGCCGTCCGTAACCAACATCAGCGTGGTGGCACACCTTCACCGTGCAAGCGAACGCTACACTTTGCTAGCTGTCCGGATAGGCACCGGCAGAACACATCAAATTCGAGCCGCGTGCCACCTTCAAGCATGTTTTTCGTTCGCAGTCCTTTTGGACATGTTTTTGCGCGTAACCATTGTCCTGAACCGTTGACTGTTGATGTTACTAGTAGTGGCGAAGCAAGAAGCTCCATGTAAGTCATGCTGGGTACTGTATGTTGTTGCTGATTGTGCGAAGGCGCATGCTGCGCACATTGGCCACCCAACCGTTTCTGATGGCAAGTATACCAGCAACGGAACTTTTCGACAAGACCTTCAGTGGTGTTCACGAAATTTCCTCCATCGCTACAGACTTAAATTTCAAGGACGAGAGCCTAAGAGGCGACTTGAAGTTGTGCAGCCGATGCCATCAGACCTCCGTGCTGCGCTGGGACAGTTGCAGCCAGCTGACGCGCGATCTGCGATTGCATTTCATTCCGTCGCTTTGAACGGAATGCCACCTGCAACATGGGGAGACAGCTAATGTCGCTGGATACGAGGTCGCAAGGACACCATGCCATGCCACGCGAGGGATGAGAGTGTGCGCAGGACTCGGGCATGAACGGTTCACGAAGGCGAGCTTTTCTAACCTGATGGCCAAAGTGCCTACTCGATGTCATCCGGCATTCGCTGCCTCGCCTTGTGCCCTTCCCTCACAAATTTTCAAAAAGATGGACCAGAGAGTTGGCGAGAGCATATGCAGCTGCGCTGCCGAAAATTCGACGAATCAGTTGTACAAGAAAAGCGTCCCATGCGTGCCGCCCATCTCTTGCCACTAATTCTGCAGTCATGACATCTCTAGTCAAGTCTAATCGGTTGCGGCATGGCTTCGTCGAGACTTGCAAGACAAACTGATGGTTGATCTTGCTCGCGGTTTTCAACCATGATCATGATGGACTTTTGGCGAGCACCGTCTCAAAGAATGCTTTGTCAAATGCCAGATTGCATCGTACAAGTATCCCATTGCTCGGCTCAAGATACGGACAGAGGATGCCAGGTAAACAGCCCTCCTCGTTCAGCCATCAGAGCCGCATAGCTATTCGGAGATACGTTGAGATACGGTACCTCCCCTGACAAGGCAGACCTGCCCTAGTGCACTGCACATGGCAGAACAGCACATGGATCAGCTCGCAGTTTGAAGGCTTGGCCTGGCACTGCCACGCGGATGCGCTCGCACCAAAGCGCTGCTGCGCAGCCGCGTGGCGGGTCTGGAGTGCGCTTTCGCACACCGGAGAGACCAGTGGATCGCCCTGCACGTGGTTTGTCCCCGGATCTTTGTGTTGTTGGCAAAGATGCGCCGCAGCGTCCGGCAAGAGGTTTGACGAACAAAGGCGGCAAGCAAGTCGGTAGACGCCTGCCAGGAGCTGGGATCGTCGAAGCATCAGATTTTCCGCTGTAGAGTTCTCTGAAAAGGATCTGCTGTGGGATCCATCCGGTATTCAGTCCCTGTCAGGAGGCTCAGCCGCCTCACAAGCAAGACCTTCGAGGAGTTCACAGATTACCCCGTCTCAAGAAAAAGTTGGCCATGATCAGGCTCTAACACCAGACCGGGTAAGCACCTTGCTTCAAAGTCTTGGGATCGCAGCGGACAGCGTGCTTGTGGACAGAGTTCTTCATGAGATTCGTCACGCCAGCGCTGGCGCTGATCGAGGAGAAAGCCAGACTCAGACTGCGGCAGCAGCCCAGGCCAGGCCAGCTGATAATCTTGGGAGCCCGTTGGGAGTTTGTAAGAGTTTGTCCATGTTGCTTTTGCAGTTGCGTACGTCGCGCCGGTCGTTCGGGAACGCAGGCAGTTGTGGAGTCAGCAGAAGATTCCGCTCGGATTCGTGCACCCCGACTCCCAGCCGCATCGGCCGATTCCCGCGGTCGTGTTCCTGGTCTTCTGGAAGAAGTGCTCGGAGACTTCCAGGGCGAGCTGGACGATTTTCGGCCAGCGCCTGCTGCAACCTCTCCGCTCAGATCTCCTGAGGCATTGCTAGCAAAGCTGCGAGCTGTTAGGTTAAAACGCGGTTTGGGCATCGCAGAGTTGCAAGCACTGGGTGATGTTAACGGCGATGGGCGCTTGACTGCCGTGGAATTGGGAAAGGTGTTTGCCGCTGCTTCTTGGATGCCAGTGGTCGTGCCGATCATGTCTCCGGAGACTATGTTTGTTCGTCCTTGGACTTTTGCTGTCGTCATGAAGCAAAATACATATCGCAGGTAGCCTGGGGTACACATCTTGTCCTGAAGCCATGCCGAAGTGTTACCAGCCCCGAGTTCTGACTTGCCTGTGTTGGTAAAAGGGTTGTCCAAACAACGGCCGCGCCAGCAGGAATTACAAGATTCCACTAGGGTTCTTTAGACCGATTGTTTCAGGAACGCGCATGGAAAGGGAAAGCCCGATAGTCCAGGCACATCCTGAGACGGGTGAAAGCAGAAGGAGTCTTGCAATTGTGCTCCTGTGACGCGGGCACTTCCGAATTGATTTCTCTGCTAGACATGTCGTCTGAAGTCGCCCAGGTTGGAATCAACGCAGATGAGGAGCTCGTGTACGAAGTGTGGAGACACATTGACACCAACCACAACGGTCAGGTCAGCTTGTTCGAACTTTTCCAAGCAATGAAGCCATCCACCACAGAGGTGCTGACAGCTCTGAGCCATGTGAAGTACCGCAGGCATGCGTCTCTGTCTACCTTGTTCCGTCCGTATGACTCTAATGGAGATGACAAGTTGACCCCTGCTGAATTCCATCGAATGCTGAACGATCTCGGTTTCGAGCTGGACGACGAAGGTGTGCGGGACCTGCTTCAAGTGATCGTCCGGGATCGAGATGGAGGCAATCTGCTGTCCCTGCGAGATCTGACTCTGGCCTTGGAGTCTTTGGAGCGTCAAGCAGGCGCCTATGATTCTTGGGGCCTAATTCACTGGCTAACCACGGGACGGAAGATGACGGAAGTTCGAAAGATTGTGACATTGATTGAGATAACAGTTCTAGTGCCGAATATCAAAGTTTCGAACTATGCTTGCTTGATGTGTCCAGGTCGGCCGGATCTACGAATGGGCGGATCTTCCAAAGCCAGCGCTGTGGAGTCGACGCTCCCGAGGTCTCCTGACAGACTGGTGATGGACAGTCCCAAGAGGTCACCAGAGCGACCGATGACTGCCCCGCCGCCTGGAACGGAAGCAGTTCCATCGCAGGAGAGCCAGGCTCAGAAGGCATCCAAGTTGGCGGAGCTGCAAAACCCGGTGGTCCCGTTCAAGCACGCTATCAAGCGCCTAGACCCGTGCGGCCTGCCTTTAGGTGCACAGGCGTGGGAAAGTCTGAATCGAATTTTCTACAGACTGGCACAACAAAGCAAGGAGGTCTCGACAAAGGAGCTTATTCTGGCTATTCGTAGCGATGTGCGCATAAAAACCGAGGGTTTGCTGCATCGACCGGTGATTGCCACGGACGACGGTGGTCCTGCAGTCTCCTTGGACGAAGCGCTTCACCAAGTTGAAACACAAGTGCTTGACGGGATCGGTCATTTGGAGATGGTGTCCTGGGATAGGTTTTATTGGCTACTTCTCGAGGCACACAGGCACCGAGCAGCGCGGCACCTTCTTCCTGTTCCGCTTCGACCTGAAAGTCCGCCGAATCCTGCAGTCAAGACTTCGCCTGTTTCCTTGATGAACTGCCCCGTAGACCCGAATGAGTCGCCTGCTGCTTCTATCCAGAACGGGCCTCAGTATGGTGGGCACGGCCGCGCAGTGTCCGCCGCATAAGACTCGCGACGTTTGCTCCTTGATCTGTGCATCTCGAGTTTATTTGCTTGTAAGTTTGCTTCTGTGACTGGTTTGCCGTGTTTTGCACGTGTATCTCTAGACGTAAACTCAACCCGTTGCTGAACTTTCTTGTTGGAAGTGGCGTGAATTGGAAGGCTTGGTGCAGCCGTATAGAACACCTGAAACAACCTGCAGAGCTGAGGGTTTGCAGAGTGTGGTTCTGGGATTCTCAAGGTTTAAGAGTTTTTTACCTGCACGCTGCCTACACGGCATTGCTGGGCTATTGAATAATACGCTTGCAGGAGAACGGGCTTCTATGAAGGTTCGATTTGCAAAGCATCACGCTCTCTCTTCGTCCATTTGTTCTTGCTTACTCTATGCTATCGATCCATATGTTTGCCAACTCGTGCTTGTGCGCTGAATCCGTCGGTCGGTCGGTTTGCTGAACTGCTTCTGTGTCTTCTGTGCCTTGTTAAATTCGCTTGCTCCATGACGCTCCTCTCCGTCTCTTTGTGCTCAGGTGGCTGGCGCAGGACTGCTGCTGCAACGAAGAAATGCTGTACCGGCTGTATGAGAAGTTTACATATTGCTGTGGAGGCGACCTGGTGCATGTACCACGTGAGCGATTTTTGCAGGCAGTACAGAACAGTGAAAACCTCTATGCCGCGCTGACGACGACACCTCTGTTGTCAGGGCGTCCTGTGGTGGTGAAACCGATGAACTGGGGCGATGTTCTTTGGCAGCTTTCCCGCAGAGAAGCCTCGCTTCTATCTTGGTCGGACATTGTGGCGACAGTGTGCTGGTGTCGAGCCTGGAGCCTTGGATTGTCAGAATCCGAGACATTGCATGTATCGCCTCGGGTTCGACCCAGCTCCGCATCAGCAGCCAAAGCCCGTGTAGAGGCGTTGCTTCAGAATCGGGCCGCTGATGCAACCGACAACAGAGCCAAGCCTTCGCCCTTGCAGCCTTCATTTGCCGTGCCGCAGATCACGCGCATGCAAGACATGCAAAGCCGCTCTCCACTGGAGACGGTCAGCAGAAGGCTTGCGGAAGCCTCGGGCTCGGGCTTTGAGACTCGGACACAGCGATCGAAGCATCCGTGGCTAGACGACTCGGACGACGACGTTCCATCGCGTGTCTCGGTGTCACGAGTTCCGGCACCGGAAGTTCCGCGGCTCTCTAACGAGGCAAGCCATAGCCGCCATAGCCACGGCAAAAGCCAGGGCCAAGCACCCGTAGCTTTGCGGCTGCAGATGCCCGAAGGAAGGCCACCACCAGATCCAAAGGAACTCCAAAGGTTGGAATTAGAGCTGGCAAGAATACTCAACATGCCAGTGCAAGCTGTAAAGCTTCAGGGCCTGAGGCCCTGAGCTTGCATGTACCATAGCCGCGTTCAATTTGCTCCGCGGTCGAACATTGGAGGCGATGCAGAAAGTCGTGCGCGCTGACCAAAAAAGGCGACATTGCTCAACGTCATTTGCTGCAGAGGGCTGGAAAGACAAAACAGACCGAGGGCCAGGGGCAGGCGGGACGGTAAGGCTCGCACGCCATATGGGAGAGGCTTCGAGGGACAGGTGTCTCTGCAGCTGTACAGGCGCATACAGGCGCACGGCATGATTAACCGGCTTCGAGCGGCCTCAATCCATCGAAAGCTTGGTGTCGCGTGGCACGGCTGCGGGCTTCGCATGGGCCTAGCCAACCTGGCATGCACGAGGCTTCATAAGGTGCGTGCAGGGAGGGACATAGGCCTAGGCCGTTTTCTGGGCAGGGCTGTTTATTCCTCCACCAGGCTCCGCAGCTTCAAACGGCGAAGTCGGTAACTTTGGCACACAGTGCCGATTTCGATGTTGCTTGTCACAGTACAGAGATCTTATCATGTATCATCGCCAGTCTGTGCCGTGTTCGGGGCGAGCATCCCTTGATTAGTTGCCTCCAGCCACGGAACGCTTACAGGCATGTCCCAGTTCGAAAGCATGTCCCCTTTCGACTGGGCCCCTTGGCTCATTGACGGAGTAGTAGAAGACTCATGAGGGGAAGGGAGAGGCAGCGGCAAGCGCCCGCCAAACAGCGCTGGCGCAAGCCCCGTCCGCAGTTCCTTCAGCTGCAAAACCGTGGAGCTGCCAATGCGAGCGAAGGCCTTGACCACAGAGATCCTCTAGCGGACTCTCCGGGGCGGGCCAGGTGAGCACAGGACTGCGTTACAGAGTTCCTGCTCGCAGAACTGCACATGCGAGGCGGGAGTCGTCGACGCATGGCTCATCATGAGCTACTGCTAAGTTCAGGTCCACAAGGCATGGTGGATGTCTGCCGAAGACCTGCATTGGGCATTCCAATCGCTGGAACGATTTTAAAATTTCTGTCAATGCGACCAGTCCTCCAATATGAGAAGACATGAACAGTTGGATGAGCTGCAGCGGTGTAAAGCACTTGACCAGCCGGCCTTGGGCTTGCAGGAAGGCTATGCAAGCTGTTCCTGTGCTGGCTGGCTATCGAGGGACACTTGAACCGCACTGCTCACAAAGCTTGGCTAGCACTCCGCCTAGTGGAAGGAGCCAGTGGACTCTCTGACAGTGATGTGGTGGGCGTGGCATCGCACACACCTCAGGGGCCCGACGTCTCTTGCACAGTACGACAACACCCTTGCTGGCGTAAACTGTCGCGCAGGCACTTGTTCGGATCTAGTCGGACGTGCTGAGCTCATAATGCGAAACGACCAGTGAACCAGAAGCTTCTATGAGTAGAAGGGGCTTACTTGAGAGCCACACAAGGTCGGACCCTGCCGTCAATCGGCGGGCAGCCGAAGAGTATTGGAAGGCGCTTTCGAAGTTCACGAAATTTCGCGAATCCTGTCTGCAGCGAGGCCAAAGACCTACAAGAAGCACAGCATAGGTCCAGACTGGAAGCAGAGGCGAAAGCCCCGTTCTCGAGAAAAGTTTCAGGTCTTGTGCCATGTAGAGCTGGGGAGGCGGCAGGGCGACAGCTCCAGCTGAATGCGCATCAGCCTTACCTGTTGATTCGCCCCTTTACGTAGGCTGCGCTTGAGGATTGCTGTTCGGTTGGCCACTTGATTGGTCGGCCGGTTCTGGTGCGTCGGCGTTCGGTTCAGGCAGTAGTGCTGGGTTTCATGCTGGCTCGATCGCTGGCTGCTGAAGGCCTCCGTACGATGTCTTCACAACACCGCCATACGTCAACATAGTGGATGCAGCCTCGGAAGCCTTTTATATGCAGTTCGCTTGTAGCAGGGGTGGTCGCTTCTGCTTTGTTCTGCAAGGTCTTTGACTCCCATGATTCCAATTGCGATGTGAACTTTGAGTGCGAAACTCTGCCTGTTCGTCTTCTTATACCAGTTGTCGGTGCGTTGAGCAGGAGGCGTAGCTTCCTTGCACGAACTTGGCTGCACCTGATCAGGTCACCTCCAGTTACAGACCCACTTCAGGTGGGATACCCTGCAGACGGCCACGATCCTAAGGGATGCAGCGCAATGGTGATGATCCGATGCCGCCTTCTCGGTTGTCGCCGATGCCATGTGAGGCACTGCGTCCTTACGTCAAGGAAACATGGCATGTGCGAAACCCAGACCGCTTGCTTTTTCGACAGAGATGTTGCAGCTGGGGGGTGAATTTTGATTGTCCCATACTTCCTGTGTCCCTGAATGCCACCTGTGATGTACATACTCCTTCAGGGATGGAGGAAGCGAATCGCTAAAGACGTGCGGCATACGGCGGCCGCGTTTGGCTTGCTACGAAACGCAAACGGTGATCGAGGCCAAGCTTTTTCACACGAATCCTGGCCTTGGACGAAGTACATGTGGTGCTGCTGTCCCTCTGAATTGATCCCTGAGCCAAACCCAAAGCCGACACATGTTCAGGGTTGTTCATGGTTCCTTCTGCTTGCTGAGCGCATCCAGGCAGAGTATGCTGTGCCAAGAACGACGCTCTCAAAGCATGCTGCACCTCGCACGGTAGGAAAAGCTCAGCAGACGCTCAGCCTGGCCTTTGAACTCCACGCAAAACGTCTGTCCAGAAGGAAGAGAGAATGAGCCCAGTGTAAGTCCCACAATGCCTCTACTCCTGGACTTAACCAAGACTCGCTGAAGCTGATGTTGAGGCGGTGTGGCGCCAGCGCGTTTCGTTTTCACAACTTCTGACTTGCCGGCCTACGAAGACATGCCTGGGCCTTGACTTAGCTATCTTGCTTTATGCACATGCAAAGCTTTTGTGACGTTTGGACTCCTCGAGAAGATGACTACTCCCTTTCGGCTGTGGCTGTCGGTACTCTCCTGGGCTGATTTCAACTTGCTTCATTCGGTTCCGTGCCCAAGTCATATCATGCAGGATTGCCCCACTGCGAAGCCGGGCAATCTGTCACAGTGCTTGTGTGTGTGAGAGAGAGAGAGAGATCCACCTTTTGCAGCTCGCACAGTTCCGCCGTGTACAGAATCAGCAAGCTCGTGAGCATGAAGTTGCACAACAGCTGTTGCGACGCGTCAGACGGAGCGAGTTTAGGTGAGGTAGAACTTCTCACACACAGTTTTTAATGGCTTGCCATGACAAACACAGCCGGCGTTGAGGGCAATGCACAACCCCTCGGGGCTTGGTGCGTGCAACGCTCTCGCACACGGAGTCACGTCACATTGGCATGAAGCAACATTGTTAACATTGTTGTTGCGCACAAGGGCTTTCCAATCGATTGCAGGGCGCCAGGAATCTGTTGGTGTTTTCAGGCATGCATGCACGGTTGCGGCAATCGTGTTTTGGTGTTCCACGGCCCACTTGTGCAGATCAGAAAGCACGTGCAGTTTAGCTAGCCTCAATCCACGGATTGATCAGCAAGCACTTGTGCGTCTGCATGTATGTTTGAAAAAATGTTGTCTCTTCCTGGCGGCAGTTAATCTCCATACATTCTGCTACTATTCCGAATGCGACTCTCAGTGTCCATCACCAGCGCACCCATACTGCGGCCTGTCGAATTCTTGCTGCTGTCAGACGATGAACATCAGCGTTGCTACTGGTGCTTTTATCGCATGAGTGGTCCTGTGAGTATGTCTATCGCTGCGCCTGTGCCTTTTCTATACTCTGCATCCTCAGCGGTCATAGCGTGAGCGTGATTGCCACTACTGCAGCAGAGCTGTTGCTATTTCTACGGCCCCTTCTACCACCGGGACTACAGTTGCTAGCTGCTCGCTGCTGCTCTTTATGACGATTGCTATGCACAACTGGTAGTGTTCAGAAGGGTGAATTCTGGTTGTTATCCTTGTCAGCACTATCAATACCGCATACGAGAGCTACCTGACCAGCATGCCAAGTTATGCTTGATCAGGGCCCGCCAATGGTTTCTTTCACATGATGCTGCAAAAATGCAAGACGTGCAGGACGGTCGATGCCAAGATGCAGGCCCCGCATAGCAAGCCTTTCGAATTTGCTTCGTCCGACATCATTTCCAAGATCCTGCTTCTACTGCCATGTCCTGTCCCGTGCATCTTCCCAGATACGCATCACATGCTCGGAAGCCTTCTTCGTAGAGCCAGGGCCTTGGGCGACAGACTCCTGACGACAACGTGGTGGTTTTCACGTGTGCGAATCAACCGTACAAAAGTGCAGGGTTGAAGCAAGTCTGGACAGCCTAACTTTCGAAAGACAGCCCGCTGTCGGTCATGATGCTCGCTCCGGCTTCAACACCTTGAGGTCACTTACTTGCGAAAACGTCCTGGATGCGACTGGCGACTTCCCCAGGATAGAAGGCTGCCGCTTCCAGGATCACGAGGCTCGATCACGGATGCCTTTGATCTCCTTTTCATGGGATGGAAAACAGGCCCGCTTGATTCTGCAGACGCGCCTTAGAAGGCGTTCGGGGCCAAGTTTGGAAATCCATCCAAAACGTCCCTGCCAAAAGCTGCAAGTCTGAGAGGCAGCTAGCAAGGATGCTTCAATCCGGCATGCGCACCACGCACTTGCATCAACACCGTACCTGCGACACCAAGAATCCATGTACTCGTTGACGCTCAAGCTGCTGCTGCCCCTGGCTTGGAACGAAGCGAGACTTCCCGTCTGTGTTGATGTCTCACAACTTCCGAGATCGAGCTGCCTTTGAACTCAGGCCTCCAGGCAGAATGACCGCAGCTCAGAACAACTATGTCTTCACAACGGAGCAAGGGTCCAAGATGGTCCAAGCTGAACTGAATGCATTTGCTTGAAGAAGTTGTTTTCCCGTATTCCCCTCCACTCCCGTGTCTATGCTGCTGCATCTTCGCAGGTTTGACCCGATGACAGTGATCGAGGGTACGGAAACTTCGATCGATCTGGGCTACACGGCCAGCTCCCCAATGCCTTTAACTTTAGAGGAGCACTGGTTGCGTCACACAGGTTTGGCGGCTTCTTTGTACGCAGGTGCCACATGCCAAAGATGACACCGAGTACCCAGGGAGCTATCAGACCCGAGGCCCAGCCCACGATGCTTCGCCTGCTTTGCAACAGTTGGGTCTGCCAGCTGGGCAGGCTACATCACCGGCTTTTTCTATGGAGCATGGACCCCTACGCCAGATGTCACAGCCTTACTAGTAGCGTTTCACGGATTCTGGAGATTCGCTGAGCCCTAGTCTCCCTGGTCTTCGAGGGGCGGATGCTCATCACCTTTGGCCTCCGTACCTTCGGATTTATGAACACGGAGTACAACATCGACGTTGTGGCATATCCGACCAATGCAGGGTCCTGAGGGCCAGGGCCATGCCATCCCACGCTAATCCATCAATCCAATTCTCATTTCACGGCGAATCAGTGCGAGCTTTCAGCCTGCCGTGACCAGTCAGGTTTGGAAACTCGGTACTCCAGGGACTGATTGCGAGGACTACGGGCCCAAACCTGAGTGGTACATGCCCATCGGCAGTTTTTTTCGCAGCTGGCCAGTTGCCTCACACTGACAAAGGCAGCCACATGTTGGCACAACTTGTCGCCTCAGGCCAGCTTCGCAAGCACAAACCACCGACATTGTACTTTCTTGTGTTGGGCAACGTCGCAACTGCACACATCCTTGTTTACATGTCTCACTTTGCCCCAAGATCATGGCGGATGTGTGATGCATGTTCAGGTGCAGTCTTGATGCCTCCGCCAGTAATTTTCACAGTCTTGATCTGACAAATGCAAACATCTGCGGCCATGCAGGTCTTTCCAAGGAGCTTTAGCATCAGAGCTGGAACCCTGGAGTGAATTCCGATGCTGCTTTGTCACAGCACGCGTTTTTGTTGCTTGCAGGGCAAACGGCTTCCGCTTAGACGTGGGCCGAAGCCTTTTCAGAAGCTTGTTTTGGCTACCCTCAGCTGCCTATTGACGACCTTGCAACACATATTTTGCGCAGCCGAGGCACAACGCCCATGAACAACCTGGGCACCCAGGGTGCTGCTGAAGTTACTCTGTGGAGCTCCCAGCAGCGAAAGCCTGCAAACATCTGCAAACCATGTGAGTCTCTTGCTACTTTGGTACTACTGGTGCCAGAGAGTGCTCGGTGCAAGGGGCATTCCGAAGCCGCCAACTGCTGTCAACATGCGCCGTCCAAAGAGCTCCCGCGCACTTCACTGCCTGTCCGGATCGGTTCGACCACTGAGGTACTGGACGGCCACATCTTTCCGAATCGATCAGGACATGGGCGGAGTTGATGCTTTACGGTCGGCCGAGCGGCATCCTCACGGAGTACAGCCAACAAACACTTGTTCACTCCGTATCAGTCATGGACAGACGGAAAGATGTGGGGCGAGGCGGAAGGAAGCAAGGAAGCAGCGGGCGGCTTCAGAAACGTAATCACCCCCCCCCCCCGGCATCTCCTAATTAGGGCCGATCTGAGAGATGTGATCAACTACCATCACTGAGGGCGCGGGTGTAAGACTGTGATCAACCATCACATTGCCGAAAGGGGGGCGAGTTTAATGAGATGTGATCAATCGCCATCGCCTAATCAGCAAGCTTTAAGAAACGCGATCGCCGTCGCCGAAAGACGCGCCGCATTGAATGAGATAAGTGTGATGAACAGTCATTGTGTGCACCGCGCCGCAGCTTGACACCTGGGGCTGCTGGGAAAGCTCTAATGGTCGGAATGTGTTTTTGGGTGGACGGACGAAAAGTCTTTTGGTGCTGACTACGCCCTGGCAGGATCAGCTGCCACAGGAGCCCTTTACGGTCTTTAGCGACAGGCCAGTGAGCGTCGGTGCCTTTGTGACGTCGCTTCACGAGATTTGCGCAGGGGATCTTTTGACTCGCATAGGTCATGGGAACCCCGACTGGTCGAATTGCAGCGTCCCAGACTTGGCAAAATCTGTGGGCTTGTGCTGATTGGTTGATGCATTTACTGTTCTGCATGGAAAGAATTCTCATCAGGTTCGAACGAGGTGATGTCGACGTAGAGCAATGGGCCCGAAACTGAGCATCACGGGCCACAGGTTCCCAGCTGGTGGGCCATGTCCCTGACTGGAAGCTTCTTGAAGCGAACGTTTCGTCCGAGTGCCCAGTTTTTGGCTCCATGCAGATAGTGCCACAAAGATGGTTGAGAGATGGTGGAGTCAGTAGCTAGTCGCTAGCCACCAAAAAGCAAACATGTTTTGGGCCTGCAACCAGCAGCGCTGTTCATCCAGCGTGTGCGACTCAAACTGTCGCGTCTCAGAGCTTACTTTTTTTGGTGCTCAGGAAGAGGCCGGGGCCCAACCCAACAAACTGGCTTCAGAGATTGCACCCGAGGCACGGCCAGAGTTTAACTTCGAGAACGGCGAGTCCTACATCGGTCAGTGGGTCGGTACGGAACGGCACGGCCAAGGGGTGCATCGTTGGCCGAACGGTGCTAAGTACGAAGGTCAGTTCGAAAGAAACCGTGCAAGCGGGCATGGGACGTTCCAGTTTCCGAATGGTGGCGTCTATGAAGGCCAGTGGAAAGCAGATCGGGCACATGGACACGGCAGTTACAGACACTTTGACCAAGCATCATACGATGGCCAGTGGCGTAACGACAAGCAGCATGGTGAAGGAGTTGAGCTTTGGCCAGACGGTGCTCGATTCGAAGGTCAGCACCGCGAAGGTCAGAAAAGTGGCAAAGGCAAGCTGTTGTGGCCAGATGGCTCCAGCTACTCCGGGAACTTTGAGGGTAACACACTGCACGGTGAGGGTGTGTATCGCTGGGCAGACGGTAAAGAGTACAGCGGCCAGTGGGCCAAAGATCGCATGAGCGGCGCCGGTTGTTTCACCTGGCCAGATGGACGCGTTTACACTGGCCAGTACCTCGACAATCAGAAACATGGTCACGGCATGATGCGGTGGCCGGATGGGGGGCTCTACGAGGGCCAGTGGGCGAAAGGGCTTCAGCATGGACGGGGAACGCACACCTCCTCATCTGGGGCATGCTCTTCAGGCACGTGGGAGGCTGGCCGCTTCATAGGCTGAGGCTTGTACCACTAGACCTGACGCTATCAGTGCTGAGTGAGTCTGGGATAACGGAGCGCGAAGCCCTCTGAATCCCATGTCCGACGTGCCAGTATGAGCCAGTGTAGCGATTGACTCATGCAAGAAAAGCTTCCGATGTTTGAGTTGGCTTCATGGTTCGCAGATCCTGAGAACACTTTTGGCGGCACGTGAGCGATCAGGTCGTCCTGGAGTTCAAACCGGGCAACACAGTCATGCCGGGGCCCCCCACTGCGACCAGTGCCAGCAGGAGCTGATATTCCCTATTCCGCTCGAATCGGGGAGGCCTGCAACGGAAATGTCTGGCATGATCGTCATCATGCCTCCTTCCACCTTCACCATTGTTGCGAGCGCCGCTCCACAACTGCCAGGAACACAAGCACTCGCAGATGATGCCCTGTGAGGAAAGCATGTGCAGTTATTCCCAGGCCTTCGACCGCCTACAACGAGCTCCCATGCACGCGTTTGCCTTAGTTTGAACATCCGCGCGTCTGCAGCCCCAGCAGAATGAAGAGCAGGCAACGCAGCGTCCCTCTTGCAAGGTCTTGGCCAGAAGCTGACCGGTTGGCGGGGTCGTGGCCACAGAAACTTTCGCAGGCAATATCGTGATACACAGCCTGCTCTGAGACTGCCGAGGCGCTGGGTGTGTCCACTGGCAGATTCCGCTCCTTTTAAGGAGACCACATATGGTGTTCGGCTGAAGGCACATTCGTGTTTGCAACTGAACCTTGATTCGTAGCAGTGGGGGGTGTCTGCACAAGGTCCGGAATCCTGCGCAGCCCGGCGCGGCCAGGTCCTGGCGTGTCTTTCTCTCGGCTTTCTCTCGCTCTTGTCACTCTGACTGTGGTCGAACGAGAAGAATCTCTTCTTCTGAACGGCTAAGATTGAGCTGTGGGAGCAAGACGCCGCCAAGCCAGCCTCACACCCGGAGTTCTCGCCAGCCCTGCAAAGTGTCCAACAGCAGCCCACCTCAGGTTTCCGCGACTCGCGGGATCAGGGGCATGGAGGTGCTGGACCCTCATAGAAACTAAGGGTGCGAGTTTTCTGCGGCCATGGACCAACTGCAAGACAGTGCAAAAAAAAGAATCTGAGGTCTGGTCCCATGCAGGCGGCCTTGTCTCAGGAGAACCAGCTTCTGGACAGCCTGGCCCTCACGTGCATCCGCGACGGTGCAGCTTAGAGGCCGGACAAAAAGCTGAGGCATCAACACTGTGCGGTTTGACATTATTCCCTCACAACCAATCGGCAATGTCCCCAACACCCGATTGCGAGTTCTGGCAGGGACCCGAGAATCTGCCTTGCTTCTGAGCTGCGGAGCTTCGTGTCTTTCTCTTCTCTCCAGGCTCCACCTGGCTTCTTCATCATCAAGCGATGCAGGGCGCAAAGCACGGTTGTTGGCTTTGCGCGCAATTTCTGGAAGACGTTCTGTGGTTGGTGTGTGTTGCTTCTGGCTATGGTGGCAGCCCATGATACTTTCCCGTCGCGACGGTAGCCGGCTGTAGTCTAGACAGGCTGCGCGGGGCAACAGGCAAAGATGTGCCTTGTGCAGCCTCGCCGAACGGCACCGATAGAGTCTATGTCGGTGGACGTTGTTCGCTGCTTGTTCCTGGAGTTTCCGCCGCTGCGAGCCCTGAAACCACCAGCAGGATTACAGCGACAATGTAACTTGAAGAGATTCGATGCTGCATCCTGTCGAGCACTGCGATCACGCTTCGAAAAGCAAAGGGGGGACAAGGAATTCATTACCCTTTTTGTTGAGGTCTGAACTTCATGCCGATTGAGCTGCCAGATGCAGAATGTATAGGTGATCCGGCCCGCGAGCAAAGCGCAGTTGAGTCAGTTGACGGCAGATTTCATAGCCTCGGAGGATCCGATTCCAACTCCTTTGAGCTGGTCTTCTCGGAACCCGGCGGGGGCGTTTGTTCCATCTGACGCATTGCTTCGAGACATTCTTCAATGAACTCCAGGTGCCATTCAGGCAGGCGTGCAGTATTCCTTCTCGCTGCAGGCTGGAACAGAGCGAGGGAAGCGTGGAGAGGTTTCTAGCATGTCTCCGCGTCTTTTGCCAGATGCAGAACCCAGTTGACTACATACCTGATGACCTGAACGTCTGGTCGTTCGACACGCTGAGACCAGACGGAGTTGCTCGAGTTTGGGTCCTAAACGTGTTGCACCGGCGAAGCACGGCACATCTCAGAGCTCAGGACACGGCCCGTTCTCCGGGCTTCTTCCTGTATCCCTACGCGCCACTCGGAGGGAGGAGAATTTTTGAGCATTAAGAGACGTCGGAAGAGAGCGGCAGAGCATCTTCGCTTCGCTTCGCAGAGGTTCTCCTCCTTTGTGGTGGTGCCGCTCATGCGCAAGGCCGATTTGGCTGGCGATCGGAGCAACGTTTTCAGCGTGGAGAGTGGGGAGTGTGTGGAGAGAGCTGGTTTTTAGGCGACAAGCGCGAGAGTGGGAGAGATGAGGGAGGAGAGAGGCTCTCTCTCTTTCACAGAGCAGCAGAGGGATGTGCTCCCCCCCCCCCCCCCCCCCCCGATTTTACAAGATTCGGTGTGTGTCACGCGCCGTTTGCTTCGCAGCCTGGCCCACAAACCGTGGTCATCCGCTTTGTGTCGCCGCTGCCAGGGTCTTAGATGTTCTGTATGGTCTGCCTGAAGAGTAGGCAGATTCCAGGCTTATTCCCTTCGACGACTACATACGCATTCGTGCTCCAGAAGGGGTCGCATGGTACACTGCCGACCTGCAGTTCAGCACGGAAGCTGCGGCGGACTCGGGCGCCTTGTTCACGAAAAGTTTCGAAACCTCTCGGATACGAGGCGCTGACACAAGCAAACCTTCTCGGAGCTCAAGACCCCACTGTCGAATTTGAAACGCCAAACGCCTTCCACTCGGCCGGTGTGACGTCAGTCGGAGTCTCTGTTAACTGCGAGACAACCTGAGGAGCTGGCGGTTCAACTCACCACGACTGCTGAAGCCAACTTCGAGCCCTAAGCCCAGTTAGACGGGTATTGGTATGTACGTCTCGTTTTCAGTTCAGGCTGCGACTACAAAGAATGAGAAGTTGTAGTGTGACGGTGTGACAGCACGCACCCAACGCAGGTATGGTATGGCAGCGCGTGCTGAAATTCCGCAATCCACGCACCCCTCTCGGACGATGCATGCCGTGTGAAAGCTTGACGACGTTTGAAGAGCGAAAGGCCTGTGCCCAATGCATGGTGGATTGAACAGTTCCAGCCTTGGCTGGCCGACCAGCCTTCGTGCATTCGTTCGATGTCCCCTTTATGGACTAAAGTGGTTGCAGCCCTGCGATTTCAAGGTATCGGCGAACGGGCCTTCCTGCGCCGAACAGCTGGAGATACATCGCTTCAAAAGGTGCTGCAGGATTCAAGACGCAAGTCTTGGTGAACACAAGGGCACGAAAGCTCAGCTTTCCAGCCATGCAAAAGTTCCATAGGCCAATCAATCTCGTCTCAGGTGGACCCATTCAACATCGTAGCGGAGGGCTGGCAGAATCCGACTCTCTTCGTGCCTGGGCGGATTCATGATCGGGACCGGAGCGGAACCTGTTTGTTGAGTTGAAAGGCAATCTGCCAGGGCCAGGGTGCAAACAAACAGCACCTGGTGGCTCACACGGCCGGCATACAGATGAGATTTGCCCAGCACCACCTCAACCTCACTGGCATGGGCAAAATAGAAGAGCGTAGAAACAACAGCTACTGTATGCCGTGGATCATGCCGAAACTTTGGAAAATGTCTGACATGCGGTTCTTTGGTCCGTGGTATTTCGATCTTCCGGTCCCGAGGTCCTCCGTGGTTCAATCTCTCAAGTGCAAGCGGAACAGTTGTCGCAGGCTTCTGGTTTTCTGTCCTTTGATCCTTTTCCGGTTTCCTTGTCCCGGTCTTCTGATCGTGAGGTCCTGTGGTCCTGGTCCTGACTCTTAAGCCCCTGCTTGATCACGGAAAATGCTTGGCGACTTCATGATCTGATTTCCAAGGTCGGTCTGCACGTCGTTCATCATGTTCTGGTTCTCGTGGTAACAGCATTGCCACCGAAAGAGACGACGATTGGCTGGTTGCCTACGCAACTGTCTGGATAGTGACGAAATGAAAGGTAGACCAGCATAGCTAGCGTGTTGGGATTCGCATGCGGGCACATACATGTTCCTTTCGGCTTTTCAAGGCTTTGGAACTTTCACACGCGCCACAGACGCTGACTGCACAACGCAAATTCCGAATCATTGGGGTTTGAGCGTGAGCGCCAAAAGCAAATCATGCAGAAGCAAATCATTGAGGTAAACATGGAGGCCAACTCATGCCTGCTCTGCAATCCATTCACCCAGCTCTCAGCACCAGACGCGCCCGCTGTGGTGGTCAGAAACCGTGAGAGAGAGAGAGAGAGAGAGAGAGAGAGAGAGAGAGAGAGAGAGAGAGAGAGAGAGAGAGAGAGAGAGAGAGAGAGAGAGAGAGAGAGAGAGAAAGAGAGTGAGTGTTTAATTTTCGTAGCAGTTGCAATCAAGGCGTCTAGATGCACGCGTCACCTTGGGGATTCACTTTGCATGGGGTGCCTTTTGCATGCCTGGGATGCCTTTCACAGATTGAGGCTGCCTTTTGCCGCGGTGGGGTGCTTTAGGGCGCTCACCTTGTAGCCGCTGCTCCTCCAAAGACACACCCTGAAATCGGCGGGCTTCCTCTCTCCTCCCTGTTTTGTCCCTCTGCTGTCCCTCTCTCTCGCTCCCCTACATTCACTTCCTCGCTCACTCACTCACTCACTCCCTCAACGATGATGATCAGTGGGCTCATCTTAGCTCTTGTGCTTTCTTCCTGATACAAACGCCTAGGACTCGATCCGCTTCAGCTCCTGAAAGAGTGGTTTTTGTTCGACTACAACAGTCGTGGTTGGAGTCCGCTGAACATGACATGCCGCCTTGCAGCAGAAGTCGGGCAACATGCCTGAACCGCAGCTTGCCAGGCAGCTCAAACTTGAGTGACCCTAGCTGACACACGTGCCCCCCTTTGCCACCATGAAGCTCCACTTTCTGGTGGCAGTGTGGATGGGCTACCGCCTATTCGAACAGGGCGGGTCCTACGCCAGACCTGCAACTAGGCTTGGAGCACCCAACATGGGTGGCTTCGGAGCCGACGACACCACCGCACGACGACCTCGCCAGCCCGGCGACACGAGAACGGCTGACCAGCTCCAGACACCAGCCGCAGGAGACGCAGAGACTGAAGACACGCCGCCGCAGCACCACGCCAGCCACGAAGAAGACACAGTGACCGCCGCAGCCGCAGCGATCGACACCGAGACCCAAATCACAGCAGCGCCCCACTGGGGAACAGAGGAGGCAACAGCCACCAGAGGAGGACCCGACAACAGCCCCACAGCCTCAGCAACGGCCAGCCAAGCCACCGAAGCAACCACGGACACCATGGCCACAGCTACGCAGTCTTTCTACCCACCATCGCGGCGAGCACAAGCCAGCCAGAACACGACGCAATGGGGCACCAGCTCCCGAGCCATGCCAGACCACCACCACTACCACGACAGCCACCAGACACAGCCGGGAGAACAACTCCCTGGCAGCAGCTCTGGCGACGACCAGGCTACACCCAGCGACGCTGGACATACCCCACTGCAACAGAGCAACCAACTTCCACTACCACACATGGCCCCAATGGACCGACCCTCACGCAACCCACCACAAGCTCCCCCGACCCAGCCTATGGCCCCAACGCTGCAGACCCACCACAACTGGCCAGCTGGGCACGGAGACCCCACCACCAACTGGGCGGTCCCCCCGCAACTTACCGGAGCCAACGCTGCAGCAGCAGACAAGCCACCGAGGCAGCCACATGCCGGCACCACGCCTGATCCACGACCTCAACCACAGCAGACTGGGACCCACCAACAACGGCAACGAGAATCACTGCCACAGCCACAGCCACAGCAGCAGCAGCGCCAACAACCACCGCCACAACCGCAGCAAGACAGACCGCGCTCCAGTCAGGGAGGGCAAGGTGCACAAAGGCAAGCCACTCGCGAGAAGAAGGAGTGGCTGAAACAGCAGTTCAAAAAACACGGCCTGCACAAACCCAACAGCCAAAGCTGGCTGGACGCAGAAGGCCAACTCTATCGCTATCTCCACCAACGGCCATCTGGCCCAATTCCCGACGTCGACATGAGCGAAGTCCTCCGCAGAGCAGATGCTTGGATGCGGGGAGAGGACCCACCACCCACACCAAGCAGCAGCAGCACCCACCAAGCCGGGACTTCAGACCAGCCGGGCGACAAGCAGCACACAGCCGCAGCCGAGGAGTACCACCGCAGGCAGCAGAAGGAGGACCCACAGCCCCGGCCGGCAGAAGACTTTCGCACCACCAATGCCGCAGACATGGACACCCCTGTCAAGCAAGTTCCCGCTGCACCACAAGAGCCCACCGGACAGCACCACCGTGGCGACCCACCACCACCACAACCACAGCCCACACAGGGGGCACCAGACCACGTCCAGGCCACTGACAACAAGCGCCACACCGCTGCCCACCAAGCATACGAACAACGGCTACAGCAAGGAGACCCACACCGGCAGAGCCCGGACGAAGGACACCACCAGTCACACATGCCAGGCGCACAGCAGGTGCCCCACTCCGACCACAACACCCCACCACAGCAGTCCCAATCGCAACCACAACCACCTTGGGGCAGTGACCAACAGACAGAAGCCACCACCGCGGCAGACCAGCGTCCACAACCACAACCACAGCCACAGCACCACCCTGAGCCAGACGCACCAACACTGGCAGCACAACAAGAACCCGCCGAAGCAGAAGAGGAAGCGACCGCAGCAGGACACAACACCTACGACATCCACTGGAGGACGGGCAACCAACACTTCCTCCTACGCCGCCACGCGGAGGAGACACAACTACCGGCAACATTCCCTCCTTCCCTACCTGTCGGCCCCCTCCTGGCCAACCTGGCACACGCGGAAGCTGCGGGCATCTGGCTCATAGGATCGGTGAGGCACATGATCTTCGACAACCCACCCGATGTCCCGAGACACACGGGTACACAGCTGGTCGTGACCCAACCAGAACCCACGATGCACCAATTCGTGGGCCTGGGAACCGCGTTTTTCCTTCGCCCGCTCGGGCCGCTGTACAAGCGTGAGCCTCGGGCGTGGCATGCTCGGGTGGCGGACGCGCCAAGGGCAGTGAGCCAGGGTGCCATCAGGTACCAAAAGGGGGAACACCTCCTGTTGCTTTGGAGCAGGCAGGAGTGGCAATGGCATCCATGGCGTGATGCTTACCTCACACAATTCGGCGGGTACTCCATAGAGATACCTGCCTCACCTAGTGAGGAACCAAGCAGCAGCAGCGGCGCAGCAGCCGAAGGAGGAGGAGTACCAGCCCAAGCCCGGGAGCACACCCAAGACGACCACAAACCAGAGCCACCACCCCAGCACTCAGCCGAGACACCACCTCAACAACAACCACAGCAACCACCGCCACAGCCACAGCAGGGACAGGCCGTCCCCCACAAATCCAAAGCTCCACCACCAGGCATCCACCGATCGAGCGACCTAGGAGCACGCGCCCCAGCAGACACCACCACAGACTCCGGAGACCAGAGCGAGCACTCCTGGCCCAGCCACGACAAACACCACAACCACGACAACACCGACCGCACCGAGCTCATGCAGAGAAGCATCACGAGATACCGTGCACCAACAGCCACAGAAGCAGCCACAGCCATGGCAGAAGCGCGCAGATGCCTACTGCGCATCTTGGACAGCACTGACTCCGGCGAGGTCATGGCACACGCACAGCAAGGGATCATAGCGCTACAGCCGACAGCGATGCAGGCCGAGCACACACCCACAGCGGGCAGCAGCTCCGACCCACCACCACAACCACTACAAGTCCAGTACCACAGAGCTAGCACCACCACCACCCAATGTTCACCGCGTGGCGGCCCACATGCTCCAGCTGCAGCTGGACATGCTTGCTGCCATCGAAGCCACCGGGGCACACAACCCAGTCCAAGACACAGTCAGAGACTTACACGAGGTTTACCGCCTCCTGCTGGAAGGCACCCGGCGTTTCTACAGCCAGGCGACAGCGCGTTGCTGGGCCAACGTACACCGGGGAGAGGACCTGGCAGAGAGAGCGGAGGAGTTGATGCACAACGTGATCACGGCTACGACAGGGCAACACGCCCTACCACACCACTTCTATGACAACCTCGACAGGGTCGTACACCTTTGCCAAGAAGCTGCTGCAGCACACGAGGAGGCCTGGGGCACGCCAGGCGAGACAGAGGAACACCTGGAGAGAACGGAGCACCTGTGCTCCGGCCCACCACAAAAGCGAGCTCGACGAGCCGAACCTCACCAAGCAGACGTACTGGCACACAGCGGGTGTGCACCAGGCCAACCAATGGTGGGGGACCAGCGCCCCGAACTCCCACTCCGAGCTCTACACACTCTACGACGCCTACAACCTTTCCTACATGGACAGATGCA